CGCGAATAACGTAACGAAGGATTGCGTGAAGCATTGCGATTTTTTTCCTTTCCAGCGCGAGTTGGGGAGAAAAGTCACATTAGTGCGCATCGAGACGACCTGTGTTTCGATCGCAACGAAATTCGATGCGAGCGCGGGCGAGACACGCTCCCTAATCTAATTATAAATGCAAATGGCGGGCGGAGGGCAGAACAGCGCGCTAATAAGCGGCACAGTTCGACAAATTCGCGATCAGCTCGGCCGCTACGCGACTCTCGCGCGCCGAAGACAAAAAGGCGCGAAATATAATAGTAACGAAGTTACGACAGCAGCACACGCATACTCGGCATCGTCGTGCGCCGAATGGTAAAGCGTACAGTTATTACAACGGTATCCCATAATTCAATTTCAATCTAATATATACGGCGTCGATGCGAATTCCACACAACTCGCGGCTCCACTTGGCTCGGCTCGGCGCGCACGCGCTCGTTTTTCCTCGCTTTTCCGTCGCGCTCGCCGACAGTTCATTGCCAGAAAAATGCCGACCAGCCGGCTCGCGGCCGCTGGATTATCCAACCACGCGAGTTACCAGTTATTTCATTAACATCGCCTGAGATACCGCGTCGAAGTGTAACAACACGTTCACTACCTTCGGCAATTATTTAGGTCACGCTCGTACGTGCAGCAGTAGCGTAGGAGCTCGTAGAAATCGGCACCGCGCAGAATCGAGAGAGCCTTAAAACCTCGAGATTTGTAAGTTGATGAGGAAGGATCGGTCGAAAGTTTTGACGAAGAAAAAGAAAAAAGGTTGCCGGGGGTGGACTGTCATCTTTTCGAAAGTCCAACTGCGTATATTATACATTTCATATATAGGATGTTTAAAAAAAGGACTTTAAGGGCAGATAGTATTTGCAAAATAGAGGAAAAAAGTCACATTAGTATTGTTATATGACGTCATTTAAAAAAAAACTCTACTACTTCTGTATTTAACATTTTTTCTATTTTGTATATTCTCAAAGTTAATAATATTCAGGTGGCCTGTTTTAGATGCCTCATCCTGTGTATATACATATATTTACAGGATATTTAAGAAAAAAGAGTTCATGATTTAAGGACAAATAGTATTCACACAATGAAGGGGAAGGGTCCTAATAAACGTGGGTCGAAAATTTAATATTATCGGAGTTATGAACAGTTATTTATTTTAATTAAAGCAAGTGACTTGCTTCTGCCGCTTTTGTATTCTGTGGTGTAATTTATTGGTGAAGAGTAACATGCTTGAAGGGAATTCCTAAAAAAAGTCTCTTTGCTCTTGCCCGGAATATAAAAGGTCTGCTCGCGCTGCTTGCATTTTTGACACTTTTATATTTCACGCCCGTTGCACACTGACCTCTCTGTAGAGAGAAGGATTCTCATTGGATATCGGTCATCGTATCCGATGTGCGAACGGGCACTAGATATAAAAGTGTCAAAAGTGCAAGCAACGCGAACAAACTTAAAGAAACCTAAAGAAACATCTATTGTCTTTCTATTTATATACACGCTTCTATCAAGCAATTGTTGTAGTCACATATTCTTGTGAACAATGAACAGTTGCAGAGAGCTATCACAAAGTTTTCATAGTACGGTAAAAATGATATCGTATTACTCTGATCAAGAAATGGCAGAAATGCATTTTACATGTATGACCAGAAGTGAGCAAGTCACTTGCTTCAATTAAAACCTCGAGATTTGTAAGTTGATGAGAAAGGATCGGTCGAAAGTTTTTGACGAAGAAAAAGAAAAAAGGTTGTCGGGGGTGGACTGTCATCTTTTCAAAATTTCAACTGCGTATATTATACATTTCATATATAGGATGTTTAAAAAAAAGAAAGAAAGGACTTTAAGGACAGATAGTATTTACAAAATAGAGGTAGTTAATTGTTCATAACGACAATATTAATTTTTTGACCCATGTTTATGTTTAGAACTGCTTTTCCCATTTTGTGAATACTATCTGCCCTTAAAGTCCTAAACCCTTTTTTTAAGCATCTTGTATTTTATATGTATACAGGGCGACACCGAAAAAAGTGGCCAAATTTCAAATTGTTCTATTCTTCCTAAAGATGAGAAAAAGTCATATAAAGATAAGTCCGGAAACTCTTCCTTTCCGAGATATAAACACTATAACAACTATATTTATATAACCTTTTTTCATCCTTAGGAAGAGTAGAATACGAATACCGAAGTTTGATCAACTTTTTCGGTGTCATCCTGTATATTATTGATAAAAATATGCCACTAATGACTATGATGAGTAACTATGGCAACACATCTGATAAGTAGAAAAAAAATTTTCTTCGATACAGTGGAAGAAGGACAAATATAGCATCCTTGGCAGGACATGAAAATTTTGGTTAAAAAAAAGGACAATTCTTCTCAAAAGAAGACCTTTGGCAATCTAACCTAACGCTTTGACAGGTCACAACGGAGATTATATGTGTCTCCGTTGTTTTTCAACGCGATTCCAATCTTCAAAGTGTTTTCGACGAATTTCTATGTAGAAAATCCCTTTTAATCTAATTGTCATCGGCAGTTAGCCTGATTTCTCAAGGCCGAAGTTCTCGCTATTGTTTATTGGCCTTCGCTTTATATCGGAGTTTTGTTTTAAAATTTCTTGGCTTCGTAAGAAATTAAATATCAAGGTGTTTCGTTTCATGTTTCATTGTTACAAGATTCGTGTGTTTAGATTCTTATTCTTATTCTTCTTGGGTCACCTGATTTTTTTTGTAAACGTGACATTTTAGAAAAAAATATTTCAAACAGAAGTTGTATGATTTCAAAGGGGACATAAAACAACTACATCATTTTGTTTACATATAGCGCCACTTTCGAGATATTCACTGATTATTATTTTTCTTAAATGAAAACCCCAATTTTTGTTTATTATTTTATCTTTTTCTACCAATTAATTTTAACAACTTTTGTCTGAAACATTTTTTTCTACAACCACTCTCTGCATAAAGGTGATAGATTAAATTTGGACACTCTGTATACAGGGTGACTCATTTTTATTTATTCACTCCAATATTTCGAAAAATATAAAAGATATGAAAAAATGTTTCAGACACAGGACGCAGTTCTGAGTAATCTTTATATTTTGCAACTACAGAAATCGCATATAGTTTCTTTTACTACCAGTTAATTTGAACAACTTTTGTCTGAAAAATTTTTTTATTTGCATAATATTTTTTGAGATATTTAAGGAAAACTTGATTGATGAACTTTTTCAATATTTGACTTATATCTCGACAACTATTTTGATAACTATTTATCGAAAGAAAAAGTGACATTAGACTTTTTTACTCTATTTGATCTCTAGAATATATTGTTACAATAGCGCCCTGGCTTTTGTTAATTTGATGAGTTTGACATTTCCAAAAGTCGGTAAGTTAACAAAAATATAACAGTGATGGTATTAATTTTAGAAAGAGAACCCATTTGTCATACAAAAATAATATCGTAACTGGATCAACAACCTTGAAACAAATTTAAGTTTTTTTTTATGGAAATTTTTGTTTAAGGAAATTTTTAACTTTAATTGTTGGATTTAGAAACATACGTTGAAGTCTGGGAAAATCCGGAGAAATTTCTACGCGAATCTATCAGGAACTTCCAACGACAAAACGAATTTGGCGTCAAGTGTGAAAGGGGTTCACGCGTGTGAACCGTGCGAGTATAATTACATTAGAATGTACATATGATTATTCCGGTTATCGCGACAACGACGTATAATAACGTTCAATCAGTTATCGCAATCGCATCGTATGCCACTAGATCGCGTGCATTTAATAAAAGGCGTGCACACAACAAACGCATCGCGACCGTCCGTTCTCTCGTATGTATACACGCAGGAGAAAATGCGCTTACGAAAGTCGCACGATCCGTATTAAATCGTTCCGAGTCACATAAATGATCGACCGCGGAGGAAGAGAAGAAGCAGCGGGAGACAGAGACAGCGCACGCGAATCTTCAACTTCATCCTGAGCAAGAAATTGTTAGGATCATCCTCGTGAAGCATAAAGTCCTGATAAAGCTGAAAATAGGATGCCCTGAAAAGGCATGCCTCGTTATTACCACATCAGGCCCCGAGATGGATCTTTTAGGGATACCATAGATTTTACGAAATAAGGCTTTAATAGGGAAAACTGATAAGGACCTTAGAAGAATCTTTTAGGGATGCCTTAGATTTTACGAAATATGGCTTTGATAGGGAAAGCTGAGAAGGGTCTTGGAAGGATTTATTAGGGATGCCTCAGATTTTACGAAATAACGCTTTAACATGGAAAACTGATGTGGGCCTTAGAAAGATCTTTTAAGGATGCTTTAGATATACAAAATCAAGTTTTGTTATAAAAAATTAATAAGATCTGAAGCGTGTAATAAAATTGTCATAGTTTAACATTATTTTAGTAAGTACGTTCTATCTGATTCTTTTAAATATTCTTTAATTATACCGCAATTAAAAACAAATTTTATTAGTTCTATTAGTTGCTATATTCATTAGTCTTTTCCAAGGATTTTTCTAATATTGCTTTCGTTTTGAAATGCAGCAAACTTTAATAAAAAGAGTAGCAGGATTTTTATGTGTAAAGAATGCTATATTTTAATATAAAATATGCTATATTTTTAAGATAAAAAATTTTTATATATTATGTATAATATATTATATATAATCTTATATATTCTTATATATTATATTATATAAGGTTATAAAGAAATAAAGAAAATGGTCTAAATTTCTTGGTATGAAAAGAACGAATATTTTTACTCAAGCAATAATAAAAATATTTCCTTATAAGGCCTTATTAATATTGCCTCATAAGATCTTTATAATGTCTTATAAGTAAACTATTTGTTATACATTTTGTAGGGCCCTTATCTTTCTATCCTTATTAGAGCCCGATTAGTATTAGGGAAAAATAATCAGGCCCTTACCAGAACCCTATTAATTTTTCTTCTCGGGACGTTATGTATTGCAGGGAGATTACATATGGATCGAACCAATCTCAGGAAGGGAATTCGACGTGGCAATCGGAGCGCGGGTGATCTCGGCGGAAGGCAGACGGATTCAAGTAAAGGACGACGACAACAAGGTTACTACTGAACGCACGTGATAAATTCGCGTCACACGCCTTGGGAGGATTTCCGAGAGGCGTTCTTATCTAATCGTCCGAATAACAGCTTCACGAGAGACCCGGCGCGTCATACAATGTGTGTCGTTGAAGAGATTGGATATCTCTAAAGGCCGATCTACAATGGCTGCAAGAATAAGGTTGTAAGCGTAAGCAGTAAGAAATGGACCAACCATAATCGATTATTCTTATAATAATCGATTGTGGTTGGTCTATTTCTTACTGCTTACGCTTAGAACCTTATTCTTGCAACCATTGTAGATGGGCCTTTATAGAGCGATATGCGAATGTTTTAACCCTTGTGCAGATTTTTGCTGCGGATTTCCGCGAAGTCCTTTATGTTTGTTCAGTCGTTGATTACATCTGAAGTCAGGTTTCAAAAATAGCACATCCAATATAGTTGCCATATAGTCTGAATAAATATAAATCAGATAAACGATAAATATAAAAGCTTTCCAGATCGTTAATTACGAATTTTACATGAAAATTCATTCAAGAGTAATTTGTTTATAAAAAAATCTAGCGTGCGAAAAATTCTGGGGAAAATAAATATATTTCAACATGTAAAGAATATTTGGTAAAATTTTCAGCTGATCCTAAATGCTTTCCAAGAAATTAATTTTTTTTAATTGCTTTCTGCAATTTTATTTTTATAGATAATTAAGAGAAATCGCAGCTGATACCAATAATCTGCATATTTACTCGATACTTTTAGAGCCCTCATTGACACTCCTTTAATTCGATATGCCGTTACCGACATTCGCTGGATCTCTTCAACGTCGTCACGACGCGATAAGATTTCTCTCGACGAATGAATCGCCCGCGCATGACAGAAGAGAAAAAATTTCAAAAGCTCACTTTTTCTCCCAAGACGCCACCCAATTACTCCGTATCGATCGGCTGATAAGCGTGTAACTTCACAGGAACAATGGCTAACGCCGGAGAGACGAATAAAGGCCATGCATGCCACCTCGGTGCAAGGTGTAGAAGATATGATCAGTTTGGGAGACCTCCATGAGGCGGGCATCCTGCGAAATCTGTTAATACGTTACAACGAGAATCTCATTTACGTGAGTGCCACTTTCGGCGACCCGACGATCGTCGAGCATCGCCTTCATCAATCCCCGCGAGACAGAGCGAATTCGCGCATGAATGAACTTTACAGACGTACACGGGCTCCATCCTGGTCGCCGTCAACCCGTATCAGATACTGCCTATCTACACCGCGGAGCAAATCAAATTGTATAAGGATCGTAAAATCGGCGAGTTGCCACCGCACATATTTGCCATCGGCGATAACAGCTACGCGCACATGAACCGATACGGCCAAGATCAGTGCATTGTAATTAGGTAAGGAAGAGAGAGAGAGAGAGAGAGAGAGAGAGAGAGAGAGAGAGAGAGAGAGAGAGAGAGAGAGAGAGAGAGAGAAATCGCAGCCATACTTGTCATTCAGTGTGCTTCAGTGAAAGAGGAAGTAGTAATTTGCGCGTAACCTTATCATCACTAAGCGTTTTGACTAATCGGAAGTTGATATTCAGGCTTGCTTAAAGCATACATTTGTAGCTTGTCCTTTGAAGCATATATTTCTCCTCACGCACAATTTTCACGGAACTCCCCTTTAAAGGATTTCTCAATCTGTTGAATACGAATCTGAGGTCGGAAATTAGGATTTTTAGGATTAGGAATTATTCAAAATTCAAGATGGCGTATCGACATGCTCTAAATTAGACTAATCTATATCAAATTGTGTATTCGAAAGTTTTTGGGCTCACTGATTACGAATCTAAAGTCGAAATCGAGAAATTCAAGATGGCGGACCTAATATGGCGGATGAAATTGTGAAGATTAGACCGATTCGCATTAAATTGTGTATCAGAGAATTTCTGAGGCCACAGTTTGATCCGCCATATTGGGTCCGCCATCTTGAGTTTCTCAATTTCGGCTTCAGATTTGTAATCAGCCACCCCAGAAACCCCCAGATATACAATTTGATATGAATCGGTCTAATTTTCACGATTTCGATCCGCTATATTGTGTACGCCACCTTGAACTTTGGAAAACTTACAATTCTGACCTCATATTCATAATCACCATGCTTCAAAAGGTTAATAAATAGCTAGTCGGTCAAAAACTAAGTCAAAAAGTTAACGAGTAATAGCTCTCTTAACTAATTTCAAGAGAGAATTTTAACTCACAAAGTGCTTGTCTTAAGACACATCAATATTGATCTTATTTCTCTTCGTCTTTAACTTTGACAAGTTAACTTTTAGTTTCAATTTCGTTTTTAATCTAACTTGCTTTTCCTTTGAGCGAGTTTTAACGTAATTTAGTTACATTAACAGTCTATAGGCTCTTAATCTTAAATATTTTCAACCTGGTCTCTTAACTTGTTAATTAAAAAAAATATATCAACTTACCCAAACCTGTTGACACCGTAGTGACACTTGTTAGAAAATTTACTAACAAGTAAAGGTACCTAACTGTCACTCACCGATTTTGATGAAACTTTGCCCACTTATAGAGTTATGGAAATTAATCGAGACGTATTTTCTTTTTATCTGCGGAGAAACAGTTTTAAGGGTGGAAACTACCCCTTATTTATATAGAGTGTTTTCGCGTTAAAAGTGCTATCTTGTTATTTATTCGAAAGGCTGAAAGGTTTCATGGGATTTTTGGGGTCGCTAAATTCGAATCTGACGTGAAAATTCAAAAATACAAAATGGCGGATCAAATATGGCGCCTATGTCTCGTGAGTGGGACCATTTTTTCCATGTAAATTAAAATGATGTCGACAAAAATTACGATTTTTTTACATATATAGGGGAAATCACATTGTTTTCACTATTTTTAGTATTACTGTTTGTCATTTGTTTTTATGCACGCATATGAAATGTCTTCAGGTAACTTATATGGAATTTGCTGTTATTTCACCTAACATTAAATGAATCTATTGAGAATAAATGTTCCATATATTTCAGTATTTCATTATTCATCATTCTCCCATTGCTTCATCCCCTCTTTGTAGCATTGTGAGGCATTTCTTTTGGCGGTTGTCATTTATAGTTTATGGTTGTCATTTTGAGATTAGGATTACTATGTCTGACAATAATATCATTACTACAACTATAATTTTGTAAGGTGTTTCTTCATATATCGTAAGTACCTTTCTAGTAAAGATCGTATTGTTTTTACTATTACGTAGTGTTATCGTTCGGCGTTTCTTTAATTCGTACATATAGTATACTTATTCAGAATTGAAATTCATTCTTATTTAACTTAACAATATATTAATGTATAGTAAATAAATGTTAGTATAATCTAGTATTTTATTCATTCATTGTGCTTCCGTTGTTTTATTCCTTCTGTTTGTGATATCGTGAGTCATTCGTTTTCTTCATTCGTTTCTTTTCTGTTTGTCGAGTTTCGAGGTATTTCATTTAAATTCCGTTTTTATTTCGTTTTAATTTTATCGCTACATAATCTATAGTGAATAAAAATTATATTTGTATGATATTTTATTATTAGTTGTAATTTAATCGTAATTTAGTTGTAGTTATTTAATTATACATCACAAAACTCGATTACCAATATATCACATTTTAAAATAATTTGCTTTCTTTTCCGACAAGTTGTTTTTACTTTCTGAACATGATTATGAACCCCAGAAATATTTTGAAACTATTGAAAACAGCTTTCGATCAACCACAATATGATATAGAATCTGCTAAATCTGAAAATGAGAAAGCTTTTAGTCCACAATTAGAAACCTTGATAAAGGACGCAATTGACGAATCTCTGTTTGTAGAAGTTCATGAAGAACTACATTTTGAGGACTCAAATTTCATGTCATATCCACTTGCAATCGAGGACGAAGATCATAAAGATGTGTTAAACATGGAAATAAATTTAGATTCGAGCTTTTCCGAAGATAAAGACGTCACTATGGAATATAAACAAAAAGCTGTAAATTATTGGAAGTCGGAACTGAAACACAAATTAAAATTTGAGTCAGTTCAGACAAAATTTAGACGTTTAAAATCAAAGCGACAGTTATATCGTTGGGAAATACAAGTTTCGAATGATGGATGCGAAAAATTAAGGAAAATTTCTCAATACGTATTGAATCGATTCAAAGAAGCTGTGGATAAGTCAGTAACAGTTCATGATTTGGATCTTCGTAGATGGGCTTCAAAAGTTCAAGATGAAGTTTCCTTATCGACAGATTTATTTAAAGCTTCTAAAAAATGAGTTTACAGATTTAAACAAAAATATGGAACCGTTTCCAGAAAAATAAACAAATTTATCACGCAGAAGTCAATAATTGAGAAAGATAAGATAGAAAAACAAGCTAACGACTTTGTAAACGAAGTAATAAATGCTATATCTCAAGTTGGAGAGGAAAATATTTTTAATTCTGACCAATCTGGTTTTAATTTAGAGATGCATACCGGACGTACACTAACATTTAGAGGCCAACAAAAAGTTGAAGCATTGACACAGTCTGTGCATTCTATGACTCACAGCTACACTATTCAGCCTTTAATTACGGCAAACGGTATTTTATTGTCACCCCTCCTGATTGTCTTGCAAGAAAAAGAAGGGCAATTCGGGCCTCGAGTGCAAGAAAATCTGTTTAAAGCAGAAAACGTCCTCGTATTAGCTTCAAAGTCCGGCAACTTGATCTCAGATCTTGTAAGAACATGGTTCCGAGAAGTGTTTCTCCCAACATCTACCGAAAAAATGGTATTGTTGCTTGATTCCTGGAACGGTTAGAATTCTGAAACATTTGGAGCAGTCGCACAAGCAAACAAAATTCACAAAATTTTGACTATCCCCGCAGGTATGACCGGCAAGATTCAACCACTTGATGTGCTTTTTTCAGGCCATGGAAAAATTTCATCCGACATTTCTCTGACATAGTCATTCTCCACAATCACGATATCAATTTACATCTGCGAAACAATATTATTCAGCTCCAATCCCTTATCCATAATCAGTTTTCTTCCCCTAGATTTCTAAATCTCATAAAGTATTCATAGTACAAAAGTGGTTATCTTCAGAAAAGACCACCTGAATTCGAAAATCCTGTAGATTACTGCTTCAAAAGCTATGCACCAGAGTGTGACTTCTGCAGTGACATAATTGTGATGAGATGTGCCTGGTGTACAAAATCTTCATGCATGACACATTTCTTCCAGAATTATCACTATTGCAAAAATTATTGTAATTGAGCGACATTAACCCATTGTTTATAGACTTGTTTTTTCCACCTTCCGTTTAAGACTGGGTCTTTGTTAATTTTTGAACGTGTCCCCAGCTTTAAAAAGATTAGGATTAAAGATTGAGATTAAAGTGAAGATTGCTTCTGCAAGTGTTAAATTACACGATCCAACTATGGTTGGCGTCCAATGTTATAAAATTTCTCAAAAAAAAAATTTATTTTTTTAATAAATAAGAATAAATTCAGAATTTGTTTGTACCTTAAAATCCGTAATCTGTAAACGAAGGATAAATACTTTTTAAGAAATTTCTCTAAGAAAGTGCAATTTAGATATAGTGAAACACCATATTACATCTATTACATTAAATTCAAAATTTTTTACAAAAACATTAAATTCAGCGACCTCAAAAACCTAAAAAAATCGTAATTTTCGTCAACATCATTTTATTTTACATGGAAAGAATGGTTCCACTCACAAGACATAGGCGCCATATTTGATCCGCCATTTTGTATTTTTGAATTTTCATGTCAGATTCGAATTTAGCGACCCCAAAAATCCCATGAAACCTTTCAGCCTTTCGAATAAACAACAAGATAGCGCTTCTAACGCGAAAACACTCTATATAAATAAGGGGTAGTTTCCACCCTTAAAACTGCTTCTCCATAAAAAAAAATACGTGGCGATTATTTTCCATAGCTCTATAAGTGGGCAAAGTTTCATCAAAATCGGTGAGTGACAGTTAGGTACCTTTACTTGTAAGAACAATAGTTCTGCGATCTTTTTATTGTGCGATTGCAGTTGCAAGATCAAGGGCTTTTTTCTCAGTATGATGGTGCCTTCGTGGAACACTTGATCATTTCTCAGCTCGATTGACTTTTTACTCGCTATTTATGAATATAAATGATGTTTATTATTAAAACCGCTTATTTTTCTTGTAGAATGTCACGCTTAATATCGTGTGCGTAATCCAACGTCGTTGATAATAAATCGACTCTCGCGAGTCTTCATCTTCGTTTTTATACTAATGAGAAGTTTCATTTTTGCTTCAGCGGAGAGAGCGGAGCCGGCAAGACGGAAAGCACGAAATTAATCTTGCAATATTTAGCAGCGATCAGCGGGAAGCACTCATGGATCGAACAGCAAATCCTGGAAGCGAATCCGATACTCGAAGGTGAGTGCAAATTTGTCATTTGTCGATATTTACCAAAATTTACCAAATTTCGTCGCAGCATTCGGCAATGCGAAAACCGTGAGGAACGACAACTCCTCCCGCTTCGGCAAGTACATCGACATTCACTTCAACGAGCAAGGGGTGATAGAAGGTGCCAAAATAGAGCAGTATCTTCTGGAGAAATCGCGGATCGTGTCTCAGAGCTCGGATGAGAGGAATTATCATGTTTTTTATTGCATGCTAGCCGGTCTCTCGAAGGAGGAGAAGCAGAAGCTCGAGCTGGACGACGCGTCCACGTACAAATATCTTATCGGGGTGAGTACGAGAATTATGTGGTTGTCGACTTCAAGGCAAGATTTTCGGTTATTTCGGTACTTTAGGTTGATAAGTTACCTTCTTACGCTTCGTTACGCTGAGAAAAATATCATTCCACTGATACGAAAAGTGATTACTCAGTTTACCTTCCACTTTTTAAACAAAAGTTGCAGCAACATTGCTGTAACTTTCTATGCTGTATGGGATAGTTATCTTCAACAAGGAATATTCTTTTTATTGGGTATAGGAATAAGTTTCCACCCTTTTCAGAAAGATATCGCTAGTGGTACTAATTTTCATGTTTGATGGAACGGCTATACTTGTGTTTTGAAGGTGTATTTGTGAGCTTTGAATCGCAGTAATAGACATTCGTTTGAAGCGTAAACATCATTTTCTTTTTGCGTCGAAAATGGCAACATTTACGAACGAAGCAGCATTTGCGGGAAGTGTTACTCCATTACTATATTCTGAAGAAAAGTGCTGCTGAAATGCATCGAATGCTTGTTGATATTTACGGCGATCATGCTCCGTCGAGTACCATGTATAAAGAGTGGTTTTCGGGTGTGGGGTGTGTAAAGAGGCGTTTTCGAAGTAGTGATTATGACGTGAGCGATCGAGGACGCGAAAGGGCACTTAACAAATTCGAAGATGCACAACTGCAAGATTTACTCGAAGAAGATTCGAACGCTCGAAAAATTTTCAAACGAGTTAAATGTTGATAGATCTACCGTCGGAACATGTTTACATACATTGGGAATGGTCCAAAAATCAGGAAATTGGGTGCCACATCAATTGAAGGAGAGAGACATTGAAAGACGTCTGATGACGTGCGAGATGCTGCTTCAAAGACAAAAAAGGAAGGGTTTTCTGCATCGAATTGTCACTGGCGATGAAAAATGGATCTACTACGACAATTCCAAATGACTGAAATCATGGATGATGCCAGGTGAACCAGGTCCATCAATTCCAAAATGAAATATCCACGGTTCGAAAGTTATCTTATGCATCTGGTGAGATCAGAAGGGCGTTATTTATTATAAGCTTTTAAAACCGTCCGAAACCATCACTGGGGATAGTTACCGACTGCAGTTAATACGTTTGAACCGAGATTTAAAGGAGAAACAACCGGAATGGGATAATAGGCACAACAAGTTGATTCTGCTACACGACAACGCTAGGCCCCACGTTGCAAAACCAATCCAAAAATACTTGGAAGGATTAAATTGGGAAATCTTGCCCGACCCGCCGTATTCACCAGATATTGCTCCTTCGGATTTCCACTTATTTCGGTCCATGCAGTCGGCCCTTTGTGGAAAGCGGTTCACTTCTCATAAAGGTATCGAAAAATGGCTTAATGAATAGATCGAGTCAAAAGTACCTGATTTTTTTCTTCGAGGAATCCGTTCACTACCTGAAAGATGGAAGAAAGTTGTCGCTTCCAATGGGGCGTACTTTGAATAAAATCATTTTGTATTTTTTTGTTTAAATAAACGACTAATTTGTATTTAAAATGGGCGAAAACTTATTCCTATACCCAATATATATATATATATATATACTTTTTTATTTTTCTTCTAGCTTTGCTAGTTCACGAATTATTGACCTGGATTAGATCGAACACCTTGTATACAGGGTGTCCCATTTTAATGTCCCACCCCAAATAACTCTTCAGTATTGAAGTTTCAAGAAAAATGATCTGAATAAAAGTTGTAGAGATTTAAGTGAGCTACCTTATGATGACCTTGACTTTGACCTTGACCTCTATTTCCAAAGTCATTTGAAAGTCAATTTGCGTTTTTAAATGGGAACCCTTATTTTTTATTACACTGTTTGTTTCTATTAATTAATTTAAATAACTTGTGTCTAAAACATTTTTTTATTTGTCTAATATTTTTTGAGTTATTTGAGGAAAACTTGATAACTTTTTTAATATTTAACTTATGATATCTCGCTAATTATTTGTCGGAAGAAAAAGTGGTACCCTGAGTACCAAAGTGGTACTAGACTTTCTTGCTTTATTTAGTCTTGAGAATATATTGTTACAGCGCCCTGGTTTTCGTTAATTTGATGATTTTGAAATTTCCAAAAATCAATACACATATACATAATGGCTTTAAAATACGCTCATAAATATCACCTTAAAGTATATTCGTCACGTAAATTTGAGAGGAAAGCTCATTTCCTCGCGTACTCAAAAGCAAAATTTAATATTTTTTCAGGTATGTTATAAAACTTGTATTCTATGCAGAAAAAACATATTGGATTTTTATTTTAATGCACAGTGTTCTTGCTTCAATTTAATATTTTTGGTTGAGCTACTGAATTTACTAGGATGCAACATGTATTTTGTATAAATTGTAAATTTGGTTATGAGAAATTTTGCTTATGAGAAGCTTATGATAGATTTGCGGATACATAAACTTGTTTTTCTGTGAATACGTTCTTACCTTCCTTTTACGTCGCCTGATGTCAAGCCTTGCTTTCCCAGGGCGGCAGCATCACTTGCGAAGGGCGCGATGACGCCGCTGAGTTCGCCGACATACGATCGGCCATGAAGGTGTTGCTGTTCTCCGATATGGAGATTTGGGAGGTGCTCAAGTTGCTTGCCGCTTTATTGCACATGGGCAATATTAAGTATAGGGCTACCGTCGTAGGTATGGAATTATGTTATAATTTTAATTATACTTAATACTTTAATATTTAATTATATAAGATAGGAAAAATGGTCGAATCCCTTGAATAATTTTGAAAATATGCGAGATAAAAAAAATGTTAAGTGCAAAAGTTATAGATTTAAATGACGTATCACATAGCAATACTAGGATGACCTTGAACAACGTCATCAAGATTACGGGAAGATCATCTTGAATTTTTCAAATAGAAACCCCCATTTTTTATTATATTATTGTTTCCTATCAATTAATTTGAATGACTTTTGTATCAAACATTTTTTTATTTGCCTAATATTTTTCGAGATATTTAAGGAAAACTTGGTAACTTTTTCAATGTTTGATTTACGATTTCGGTAACTATTTGTCGGAAGGAAAAATGGTACTAGACTTTTTTACTTTATTTAATCTAAAGAACATGCTGTTGCAATAGTGCCCTAACTTTTGTTAACCTGATGACCTTTGAAAATTTCAAAATCATCATCATTATTCAATAGAAAATTATAATTATAATACAATTTTAATAGAATTCGACTGTAATATATATTTCTCAGATGATAATTACAATTTTAGAATTATATTACGATTTTAATATAACATAAATAAATTAAATCATAAATTTGCTTGAGCTTACATTACAAATTTTGATCAAAAATTTCCAGATAATTTAGATGCCACGGAGATACCGGAGCACACGAATGTACAGAGGGTGGCGCATCTATTGGGAGTACCGGTACAGTCCTTGATAGATGCGCTCACTCGCAGGACTATATTTGCACACGGTGAGACAGTAGTGAGTATCCTTCCATTGACGGATGCATCAGTGACATTAACAGGACGCATATTATCGGAATTGAATTATATTGATAGGTTTCCACATTATCGAGAGACCAATCGGTCGACATCAGAGACGCGTTCGTCAAAGGGATATACGGGCGATTATTTATACACATCGTGAAGAAGATCAACGAGGCCATATACAGGCCGAAGAATACCTCGCGGAGCGCCATAGGCGTACTGGACATCTTCGGCTTCGAGAACTTCAATCACAACAGCTTCGAGCAGTTCTGCATCAACTACGCCAACGAGAACCTCCAGCAGTTCTTCGTGCAACATATATTCAAGCTGGAGCAAGAGGAATACAATCACGAGGGCATCAATTGGCAACACATCGAGTTCGTCGATAACCAGGACGCCTTAGATCTGATCGCTATCAAGCAGCTCAACATTATGGCGCTCATCGACGAGGAATCCAAGTTCCCCAAGGTAGAATCTCCAGTAGCCGGCACTCTTGCGTGAATTCTATTAAATTGAGTGTGATCCGCTTTGAAGAGCGTTGAGAAAACGCATGATTTTCTCATTTGCAGCGTCAAATGAATCCATCAAGAAGCATGGCGATTTAAAAAACAATAAACTAATTAACAAGCACCTCATAAATCTCGATGTATCTGGCGGAATTCTAGCTACTGAACGTTTTATTCTGCTACTTCACGAGAAACACGATGATCCTTTAACAAACTAACCGAAAAGATAATTGAAGAGTCTTAGTGAAGATATAGGGATTTTTTAATTGCGCTAATTTCTCATTGTCACGACTTTAATTCGATGTCAACTGGTTTTCAGGGTACTGACCAAACCATGCTGGCGAAGATCCACAAAACACACGGCAGTCATAGGAACTACCTGAAACCCAAGTCGGACATCAACACGTCCTTCGGCCTGAATCACTTCGCGGGCGTCGTTTTTTATGACACGCGGAGTTTCCTGGAAAAGAACAGGGACACGTTTAGCGCGGATCTATTGCAGCTCATTCACATCTCGTCGAATAAGTTCCTGCAGGCCTGCTTCGTCGAGGATATCGGTATGGGCTCGGAAACCAGAAAGAGGGCGCCCACGTTGTCGACGCAATTCAAAAAGTCCTTGGACTCGCTCATGAAGACGCTGTGTAGCTGCCAACCTTTCTTCATCAGATGCATCAAGCCGAACGAATACAAGAAGCCGATGGTAAAGCTCCGACAAATTCTCTCTTTCTCTTGAATGACTCTCGTAATAACAATCTTACAAATACCAAGAACCTACTTGCAGATGTTCGACCGAGGCCTCTGCTGTCGACAATTAAGATACTCCGGCATGATGGAGACCATCAGGATTCGCCGAGCCGGTTACCCGATTCGCCATTCCTTCCACGAGTTTGTGGAGAGATACCGATTTCTCATCTCGGGCATTCCACCCGCGCACAAGGTACGCATGTAACCTTATCGAATTGTAACTTCAGGCCAGTCACTACACTTTCGTTTTTCGAACACTACCTAGATAGCGATTGGCTAGAAGCCACCTTTGAAGGTGACTTTTTATCGACAACCGTCCAAGATACCAACGAATATTTCTGTTACCGCGACCGAGAAAATTCGTCCAAGCACTTAGCTGAATTAAAACTCAGTTGAAACAACGGAAAACAACCTATTGAATAAGAACCTCCTATAAAAATAATCTTTCTTTTTCTACACTCGAGTTTTCCACTTGGTCCCTATTCTTCCCATTGGATCTATTTTGCAACTTTTAATTTTAACTTTTAATTTTAATCGCCATCGCACAGCTGTAATATGACAGAAAAGATGCGCAATGACAAGATAACGATGATAACGTTGTCGTTGAAGGATCCAGAATAGACCTACAGGCAACGGAAAATTCGGTCGCATCAACCGGATTGTTTGCTAAAGCGTCTTATTAATTAAACAACAGGTGGACTGTTGCGCGGCGACCTCGAAGATCTGCCACGTGGTGCTGGGTCGGTCGGATTACCAGCTCGGGCACACTAAGGTGTTCCTCAAGGACGCTCACGACCTGTTTCTGGAGCAGGAGCGCGACCGCGTGCTGACGCGCAAGATCTTGATACTGCAACGTAACATTCGCGGCTGGGTTTATCGCAGGAGGTTCCTGCGGCTGCGAGCGGCCGCGATGATTGTGCAGAAGTATTGGCGCGGCTACGCGCAGCGCCAGCGATACAAACGCATGCGAATCGGCTACATGCGACTGCAGGCGCTCATCAGGTCGCGCGTGCTCTCGCACAGGTTCAGGCACCTGCGCGGCCACATCGTCGCGCTCCAGGCGCGAGCCAGGGGCCACCTGGTGCGCAAGATGTACCGGAAGAAACTGTGGGCCATCGTGAAGATCCAGGCGCACGTGCGCAGACTGATAGCGCAGCGGCGCTACAAGAAGATCAAGTACGAGTACCGATTGCACGTGGAGGCGCTGCGACTGCGGAAGAAAGAGGAGCGCGAGCTCAAGGATCAAGGCAACAAACGAGCCAAGGAGATCGCCGAGCAAAACTACAGGGTAAGCAAAGGTCTTAACAAACTTTTGTCCACACGTTTGCTCGACAGAGGTCTTCATCGTGTGCGGACAGCGTCTACGCGGAAAAGAGAATCTCACTCGGCAAAATTATGTATAAACGCATGTAATCGTTGAGCGAAAGTTTCGGCGAATGTCATGGTAGAAAAATGGATTTAGCGATTTTGTCAGAAACGACTTGTTCATTCTATCAGCTAATCACTATTGTTTTTAATATTATATTATATATATTCAAGTAATATTATATATATTCTTACTGTTATATTCTTTTCGATATATTATACATCCACATATCTTTAAATGCTACCAAGAAACTGAATCAGAGTCACATCTTTAAGGAATCCAAAGGCACCCAAAGGGATCAAAATTTTTACATTCACGCGATATTTATTTACACTGCAGAAAATATTGCTGTTCAAATATAGTTAATGTGACTGCTTGTATTTATGGGAGCCCGTGATGTAGACTTATAATTGAGTGAAACAATATCTTTTTTTTTTTCTTAATAATGTTTTTTTCAGTGTGAATGCACATAACTTTATATGATTATACAGGATGTCCCGTTTTATATGAGTCAGGCAAATGTCTTAAAAAAAATGTTAGGCAAATAAAAAATATTTCAGACAAAAGTTGTTCAAATTACTTGATAGGTAAAGACGATGTAATAAAAAATTGGTATTTCCATTCAAGAAAAATAATGATCAATGAATATCTTGAAAGTGGTGCCACTTATAAACAAAATGATATAGTTGTGTCCCCTTTGAAACCATACAACTTTTGTCCGAAACACTTCTTAGTATCTTTCATATTTTTCGAGGTTTTTGTCTGGCTCATTTGAAACCTTCTATCCAGATTTGGGACCTTCTATCCAGAAATCTTTCCCTTTCCTGAACTTTGTATTTACTGAGTTGTGGTCGTCTGGTTCCTAAATAACAAACTAAATCATATGGTATGCTATATAATAGTTGCTTTGTTATATAACAAAGTAACAGTTACATAACATACCATATGATTTAGCTGACATTGTGCAGCAATGTGCTGCAACTTTTTGTGCTGTACGGGAAAAGATGTAGTTGTATTAACGGAATTTTCTTTCCTGTAAAAGGAAAATCTTTTTCGAGCGTCCAATGTTCAAATCTCACTGTATGCGAATAGTACCTTCAGGTGCTCTTATTCTTCAGATATTTCAAACCTTTAGAAGCAGATTTTGTGCAATATTTACTGCAAATTTGCTCGACAGCGTGTTAGCAGAAAAATATACAAGGCCTGCTAGCAACCTACGCTGACAGACTGACGGCAAAGAGCAAGCAAGATTTGTTGTTTCGTTGGCACTTAAATTCAAGGCAGCAGGAGCTCGATTTTTGCTATCAAGTTACGTCATCAGACTCTGACCTCAACAAAACGCGAGCTCAATGCAGATACAAATTGCTATAGATCCGGCACGGTATTCTGATTGAATCTGCTGGCATGCTGCTAATATTTTGGATTATTGACAAGGAAATGAAGCATTGTGATGACCATCACTGATTCCTCGACTTACTTGCAAGCAGTTTAAGAATTAAATACGATCGACTCTTCTTCATCCGTTATGCTGCACGTATACTGTGTTACATAACGATTCAGCAAAATTGTAGAGAACTCGAGAGAATTAATGAGATTATAATTATGCGTGAATACAAACAATCCGTCGAGCGTGTCATAATACGACTAGTTTTTTATATCAAGTCACGATCGTGACTCACGCGTGTAATTGCCTGTCGAGGTCTCTTTCGGTTACATCGCGTGTACGAATTCCAGGAACGCATGCAAGAGCTAGAGCGGAAGGAGATCGAAATGGAGCTGGAAGATAGGCGACGAATGGAGATCAAGAAGAATCTGATCAACGACGCGGCCAAGAAGCAAGATGAGCCGGTGGATGACAGTAAACTGGTCGAGGCCATGTTCGATTTCCTGCCGGACTCCAGCAGCGAGGCGCCGACCCCGGCGAGAGAAACATCCGTGTTCAATGTAAGTCACGACGATGTGTCCCTGAAGTGTCCTGGAATGAAGTTTCATTCGCAAGGCGGAGTAACAGCCGAGTCACTCCAATTCGAGCGAGTCTTCACTGAATCTACCAGTCTGAATCATCGAGTGAATACTTCCGCTTGGAATTGAAAAGTAAATTTGGTGGACTCTGCCATCAAACGTTGAACTGATTGGAATATTCACTCTACTCATATTTCAGAATCCGCTCTAAGCTTGAATGAAGCATTCACTCTTGCAACTTCAAGTGGCGATATTTTCACTACAACCTTCGAATAAATTTCCACCTTTTTTGCTGAAATTTCCACAAGGTTATGTTCAAAAATTTATCTACGAACGATTATGGAAAAGTGAAACCTGAGGAAACGAAAACAATGCCGATTACGCGCGGGCAAAATTCACTCTCCCGCAAGCGGAGGATAACATTGCTTCAAACGTTGCAGGATCTACCCGCGCCGAAGGCCGACCAGCAGGAGATAATCAGCCCGGTTCAAATGGCATCGGAGGACGAGGAGGACTTGTCCGAGTTCAAATTCCAGAAATTCGCGGCCACGTACTTCCAGGGTAACATCACGCATCAGTACTCGAGGAAGCCGCTCAAGCATCCGTTGCTGCCGCTGCACACCCAGGGCGACCAACTGGCCGCTCAGGCCCTGTGGATAACCATACTGCGATTCACGGGCGACCTGCTCGATCCGCGTTTCCATACGATGGACAGGGACACGACCTCGGTGATGTCGAAAGTCACGGCGACGCTCGGACGGAACTTCATCAGGAGCAAAGAGTTCCAGGAGGCTCAGATGATGGGCATGGACCCAGTACGTTTTCTCTTGATAATTTTTGTCCTTCCTTCATATCACTCCGTGAAGTTGCATTCACGTCAATTGAAGTCAACGAACATCTCTTTCTTCTTTTATTAAACAACCTATCTTGTTGACGGATTTACTTCAGACTAATATATTTCTCTACGTCTTCCTTCCACAGGAGACATTCCTCAAACAAAAGCCACGCTCCATCAGGCACAAGCTGGTATCGCTCACCCTGAAGCGGAAGAACAAGCTAGGCGAAGACGTGCGACGGAGACTGCAGGAGGACGAGTACACCGCCGACAGCTACCAGTCCTGGCTAGAGTCCAGACCCACGTCGAACCTCGAGAAGCTGCACTTCATCATCGGCCATGGTATCCTGCGAGCGGAGTTGCGGGACGAGATATACTGCCAGATCTGTAAGCAGCTGACCAACAATCCGTCCAAGTCCTCGCACGCGCGAGGCTGGATCCTGCTGTCCCTCTGCGTCGGCTGTTTCGCACCCTCCGAGAAGTTCGTCAACTACCTGCGAGCGTTCATCAGAGAAGGACCACCTGGCTACGCACCTTACTGCGAGGACAGACTGAAGAGAACCTTCAACAACGGCACGCGCAATCAGCCACCAAGCTGGCTGGAGCTGCAGGCGACCAAGTCGAAGAAGCCGATCATGCTGCCGATCACCTTCATGGATGGGAACACGAAAACGCTGCTGGCCGACTCGGCCACCACGGCGCGGGAGCTGTGCAATCAATTGTCCGACAAGATCTCTCTGAGAGACCAGTTCGGCTTCTCCCTGTACATCGCCCTGTTCGACAAGGTGTCGTCCTTGGGCAGCGGCGGTGATCACGTGATGGATGCGATCTCGCAGTGCGAGCAATACGCTAAGGAGCAAGGCGCGCAGGAGCGCAACGCGCCCTGGAGATTGTTCTTCCGCAAGGAGATCTTCGCGCCTTGGCACGAGCCGACCGAGGACCAGGTCGCCACGAACCTGATCTACCAGCAGGTGGTGCGCGGGGTGAAGTTCGGCGAGTACCGCTGCGACAAAGAGGAGGACCTGGCAATGATCGCGGCCCAGCAATATTATATCGAGTACCACACCGACATGAACGTCGACCGACTGTACACCCTGCTGCCGAATTACATACCGGATTATTGCCTGACGGGCATCGACAAGGCCATCGATCGATGGGGACACCTCGTGCTGCAGGCGTACAAGAAGGTAAGAGAAGTGTGTTTGACTCCATTTTGCGTTAAGGAGCCTCTTACCGACAGGGGAAAAATTAAATGGTTGAATAAAATACGTTTCGATCGAAGGAAGTTTTTCATCCAAAAAATTTCTGGTTCTTAGAGCCCCATTTGCTTCAAAACGTGCTTGCTTTGTTCGCTGCCATTTTTTTCCAATCCTCTCCTGCATGTTTGGGAGGAAAAAATAGGTTGTATTGTTAATTATTATGTAAAAAAATCAGTTGTGTGTAAAATTATTTAAGTGTAAAAATTGGTTGCATGAAAAATATTAGTTGTATTTACATTTTCTTTTCTTGAAAAAATTTTCAAGTGAAATCAGTTTTTCGAGAATCCAAAAATATTGGTTTGCACGGAAAGTAATTTCGGTTTTCTGCATGAAAATGAAAGACGATATTTTTTATAAAAAGAAAAGTTTTTATTCCGTTAAGTATTGACCATTTTATTAACATCTTTTGCCATCTTTAAGGTGATAACATGATTCCATGCTCGTAGAACTTCTTGTTCTTACTGGCAAAAACTGAATCAATTGGTTTACGACACCTTCATTTGAATCGAAATTTTTACTATTCAAGAAATTCTGCAGTGACCGAAACAAGTGATAATCGGATGGTGATAGATTAGGTAAATATGGTGGATGCGGTAGCATATCCCATCCAAGCGCTAACAGCTTTTGGCGAGTCATTAAACTTGTGTGAGGTCTGGCGTTGTCTTGATGAAATACAACACCTTCTCTGTTTGCCAATTCTGATCTCTTCTGCTTGATGGTATCATTCAATTTGTCCAATTGATGACAATACACATTCGAATCAATCGTTTGGTTGTTTGGTAGCAACTCAAAAAACCATTCCTTTCCAATCTCACCAAACAAAGAACATCACCTTTTGATGGATATCAGCTTTTGATGTTCTTTGAACTGGTTCATCGCGTCTGCTCCATGATCTTTTGCGTTTAATATTATTGTACACAATCCATTTTTCATCTCCAGTTATGAATCGCTTCAGAAATGGAATCATTTCAATTACGTTTCAACAGCAAATCGCAGATGGTAATGCGACGAATTAAATCTCTTTCTTTAAGAACGTGTGGAATTCAAATATCGAGCTTTGAAACGAAACCAAGCTATTTCAAATGCTCATGCACGGTCGAATTCAATAAATTTAATCTCTCAGCTATTTCTCGTGTTGTTAAATGACGATTTGCGTCCAACAATGCCTTTATTTGATCTTCATCAGCCTCAATTGGCCTTCCAGAATGTGCATCTTTGAGATCGAATTTCCAGAACGAAATTTCGAAAATCAATTCTGACACTGATGTTCAGTCAACACATCTTCTCCATGCATGACACACAATTTTTTTCTTGCTTGCACTGCATTTTTGCCTTTACGGTGATAAAAGAGCAAAATGTGACAAAAATGCTCACGTCAGTTTTCCATTGATGCGACGCCAAATAAAAACAACTTGACAGATTCCAAGACAACTCTCTTTCAAATGAAACTTGAAATGTACATTGTAAAAATGTAAAGTGATTTTCTGTTTTAGAATAAGGTTACTTAAAAAGGCAACTAAGACCATCTATTTGAAAAAAACCGAAATTACTTCCCGAATAACCCAATAAAAGGTCTCTCAACATCCTTTGGATTCATTGCTGATCAATTATTTCTGGTTCGCACAACTTCAGCGTACGACAGCTGGCTCATTGGCACCTGGCTCATTCTTCTTTCTGATGAAGAAAGTAAAATTTCCAACTCAGCATCGCATACAATAGTCTCACGGACAATTTTTAACGTTACCGTTCACTTTACCGAACCTTCGCACACGAATCTCTATCCCGGTTCTAATAGGGTCTCGTATTTCCCGTTGCAATTTAATACGTTCTCGCTGTTCTTGCTATTCGCAGAGCTACTATTTGAAAGAGAAGGTGCCGGCGTTACGCGTGAAGGAGGACATAGTCGGCTACGCGAAGTTCAAGTGGCCCTTGCTGTTCTCGCGCTTCTACGAGGCTTACAGAAATTCCGGCCCGAACCTGCCGAAGAACGACGTGATCATCGCCGTCAACTGGACCGGCGTGTACGTCGTCGACGATCAAGAGCAGGTGCTCCTGGAGTTATCCTTCCCCGAGATTACCACCGTATCTAGTCAAAAGTGCGTGTAGGTCCGATCGAAAAAAAAAAAAAAGAAAAAGAGAACACGACGAGAGAGAAAGAAAGAGGCCGCAAAGGTCTCAACTCAAACTTCGCGTTGTGCTTTCAGAACGAACAAGATGTTTACGCAAACATTCAGTTTGTCAACGGTGCGGGGAGAAGAATTCACATTCCAGAGCCCGAACGCGGAGGACATTCGCGACCTGGTGGTGTACTTCCTGGAGGGTCTGAAGAAGCGCAGCAAGTTCGTTATAGCTCTGCAGGACTACAAGGCGCCGGGCGAGGGCTCGTCGTTCCTGACGTTTCAGAAGGGCGATCTCATCGTCCTCGAGGACGAGAGCACCGGCGAGACCGTGCTCAACTCAGGATGGTGCATCGGCACTTGCGAGAGAACCGCCGAGAAGGGCGACTTCCCAGCAGAGACTGTTTATGTGCTGCCTTCCTTAACGAAGCCACCGAACGATATATTGGTGAGTCGGTCATTTGCATTTCACGCGATAAGAATCTTGAAGACTCCTTGGAACCCTCCGAGAAATTTAATCTCGGAAGAAATACTTTTCCATTGTTTTTGTAAAAAAAAGATAAAAATCGCGGAGATTTCATTTGTAAAAGTCACAAATATTCTAAGCAATTGGAAAATTTTGTCGAGTGCTATCTTTTTTGTATCTAATTCCTTTGATTGTTATAATCTTCAGGCTCTATTCAGCATAGAGGGCACAGAGAACAGTCGCAGGCTCTATCCTCAGCAACTAAACGGCGTGGATTCTCGCGACAAGCCTCACACTCTTCTGGAATACGCGATCGATCACTTTCGGTAAGTTAAGGAAGTTAAGGACATACCACGTGTTAGATTCTGTTAATCATTCCGCGAATATTTGCGCGTAAGAATTGAAGGTAAATCCAAATTTCACACGTTTGCTACCATTGTTTACTTGGAGAACTTTTATCACGGACCGCCTTGCATTTTTTATATACACTGAGAGAAAAAATATCTGAAAAATAAAAAATATTTATTTAGTGAATACCAACGATATATTTGCTTAAATATAAATATAAATATTTATTTAAATATAAATATAATGACATATTTACTTAAATTTCTTTTATTTAAATGAAGCAAACAATTGTTTTCATGAAAAGCTATAAATATTAAAAAAGAGAATGTATATATTTTTATATATATGTATATATTTTTTATTCGAAAACATTTTTTCCTAATGTAAAAATATGTGTGTGTTTAGTATAAATGAACATGTTATTAGTACATATCGAGTAAATATTTTTTAAGTAAAAATAAATAATAAAAAGTAAACTTATCGCTATTAGATATGATGCTGATAACGAACATGTGGAACATTGAAAACTTTGTATGAAGCTGCGTTTAACGTAAAAAGTTTAATCCAAAACATATATTCACCCTCTGAAGAAAACTTTAGAAATTCTTTGAAATAAATATAACCGTCTGAATGCAGTTACTTATGAAATAGCCGATAAAAAAGCTATGAGGACTGTGACGAAATGGATACTGCAATTGCGTTTATTTCAGGACACCGCCGAAGAGAACAATGTCCAAGACGTTGACCCTGACATCCGCGCGACGTGGTCACACGGACGAGCTCTGGCACCACTCGCGAGAGCCGATTAAGCAACCCCTGCTGAAGAAACTCGTGTCCAAGGAGGAGTTGGCAGAGGAGGCTTGCTTCGCCTTCAACGCCATTCTGAAATACATGGGCGACCTACCGACGAAGCGGCCGCGCATCGGCAACGAGTACACAGACTTGATTTTCGACGGGCCGTTGAAGAACGAGATCCTGCGGGATGAGATTTATTGTCAGATTATGAAGCAGCTCACAGATAATCGTAATAGATTGAGTGAAGAGCGAGGATGGGAACTGATGTGGCTCGCCACCGGGCTCTTCACCTGTAGCCAGAGCCTCTTAAAGGTACAAAAATATACCCGAAATATTTTTCATTGGACTTTATTCGCACTATTTTGCCAATTTTTCGATCAACGGTACCATCGAGATTTAGTAGATGCACTTTCTAAATCCCGAAGATATTAAATTATGAAATATATAAGATTACATCTGAGATAAAAAATCTCGCTCAAAATTGAGTCAAGGAAGAACGATTATATATGAATTTTTATACGGCCATGCATAATGTATAATTATATATATGGCTCATATACAAAATTTGACGAGATATAATTATATATATAATCATATATAATTAAATATGTCCATAGAAAAAATTGTTATTGAATAGAAAACGAAAAAAAGTAGTCTCATTCTTCCAAATTTTATATATAATTATTTTTTCTGAAACAGCATTTTTTCGACATAAGTATACAGGGTGTCCCATTTTAATGTCCCACCCCAAATAACTCTTCAGTATTGAAGTTTCAAGGAAAATGATCTGAATAAAAGTTCTAGGGATTTAAGTGAGCTACCTTATGATGACCTTGACTTTGACCTTGACCTCTATTTTCAAGGTCATTTGAAGGTCAACTTGCGTTTTTAAAATGGGAACCCTTATTTTTTATTACACTGTTTTTTCTACTAGTTAATTTGAACAACTTTTGTCTAAAACATTTTTTCATTTGTCTAGTACTTTTGAGATATTTGAGGAAAACTTGATAACTTTTTCAATATTTAACTTACGATATCTCGCTAATTATTTGTCGGAAGAAAAAGTGGTACTAGACTTTCTTGCTTTATTTAGTCTTGAGAATATATTGTTACAGCGCCCTGGTTTTCGTTAATTTGATGATTTTGAAATTTCCAAAAATCAGAAAGTTAACAAAAGTGAAAGCACTATTGTAATAATATATTCTTGAGACTAAATAAAGCAAGAAAGTCTAGTACCACTTTTTCTTCCGACAATAGTTAGCGACGATAATTAGCGAGATATCGTAAGTTAAATATTGAAAAAGTTATCAAGTTTTCCTCAAATATCTCAAAAAATATTAGACAAATAAAAAAATGTTTTAGACAAAAGTTGTTCAAATTAACTAGTAGAAAAAAACAGTATAATAAGAAATAAGGTATAAAAAGAAATAAAAAAGAATAAATAAAAAAAGAAGAAAAGAAATAAAAACAGTATAATAATAAATAAATAATTCCCATTTAAAAAACGCAAATTGAGCTTCAAATTACCTTGAAAATAAAGGTCAAGGTCAAAGTCAAGGTCATCATAAGGTAGCTAACTTAAATCCCTACAACTTTTATTCGGATCATTTTCCTTGAAACTTCAATATTGAAGCATTATTTGGGGTGGGACATTAAAATGGGACACCCTGTATATAATTATATATCATTATATTCATATTATATATTATATATATAGCTATATATATAGACAAAATTTATATATAATTTATATATTATATAAGTTTACATAATTATATACAGGATGTCCGGGATCTTTTGGAAAAGAAAAATTGTAAAGATTAATTAGATCAAACTGAGAAGAACAAGTCAAATATCATTTTGCAAAAATCGCAATAGTTATTAAGTTATTAATGATTGACCACATCTAGAGGCTCTTTTAATTAATAACTTGAAAATTTGCGTATTTATTTGCAAAATGGTAAAAGATTTTTTTGTTTAGAATGACCTAATGTACAATTATATGATGGCTATTGTCTCTAGTGATGGATATGAATATATAGAATCTTGAACCTGTCGCTATGCAGATCTTTCTGAACAAAAAATCTTTTACCATTTTGCAAATAAATACAGATAAATAAATTCTCAAGTTATCAATTAAAAGAACCTGAATATGATCATTTTCAATCATTAATAACTTAATAACTATTTTTGCAAAATGGTATTCGACTTTTCTCCTTAGTTTGATCTGATTAATCTTCACAATTTTTTCAAAAGATTCTAAACACTTTGTATAATAATTTTCTCTCAAATAGTCACAAAATTTATTTGAAGCGATAATAAAAATACTGCCGCTAGGAATCGTAAGAGTGAATTAAAGATTTAACATTGAATAGATCTTAACCCATACGAGTGAATTTAACTTCAGTGTTGGTGAAATACATCAGATTCAGCTTCCAATCTCGAACAAAAATACTCACTTTATGATTCAGAGTGGAAGGACCTGCTTTATGTGAATGAAAAGTCACTCGACTCATTTCATGAGTGTGAATCTTACTCGATGAAATTTGCAGCGTACTTAACTTCTCTACCCATTATTTCAGGAATTGACGCTATTCCTACGTACAAGACGTCATCCTATCTCGCAAGATTCTCTACAAAGACTGCAGAAGACCCTGCGTAACGGTCAGCGAAAGTACCCGCCGCATCAGGTGGAGGTGGAAGCTATCCAGCACAAAACCACGCAAATATTTCACAAGGTTTACTTCCCGGACGACACAGATGAGGTACCAGTCATATGTTCGATATTTTTTACCAACATTTCCTCCGGCAATTGTCACCGCTTTATTCGACGAGTTACGTAATAATCTGATTTGTAGGCGTTTGAAGTTGACTCGTCCACTAGGGCGAAGGACTTTTGCCAGAACATCGCGCAAAGACTCAACTTGCGGTCTGCTGAGGGCTTCAGTTTGTTCGTCAAGATCGCCGATAAAGTCATTTCCGTGCCGGAGGGCGATTTCTTCTTCGATTTCGTGCGACACCTCACCGACTGGATCAGAAAAGCTAGGCCTTCGCGAGACGGTATGTGTCAGCAAACGTAGCTTAGAGCTGTATTGGTAGTCGTTACTTGAAACTTGTGAGATATTGAGATTCGAATTTAGATTTATATATTTTTCAATTGAAGTGTGCTTATTAACATAATATCACATGATTCGACTGAGAAAGCTAGACCGGACTCTAAATTCAAATTTGAGCATTTCATGTGGGACAACTATTAATTATCAATACAGATCTTGGACGTATGTATTTGTAGTCGTCGGTTGAAATTTGTCTGAGTTTTTTTAGTAAACAATCATCTGATAATGTAACATTACATTTATATCGCGATTCAATTGAAGATTGTTCTTGGAAAATCTAACTCTGAAAAATCAGATTTGAGTGTCTCACATGAGGCAGATTTCAAGTAACGGTTATAAGTGCCGATTTAATTAACGCAAATCGCTATGTGCATCTTCTTATTGGTGAATCGATCCAGGAATATCGCCGCAATTCACGTATCAAGTCTTCTTCATGAAGAAGCTCTGGACCAATACAGTTCCCGGCAAAGACAGAAACGCCGACTTGATCTTCCATTTCCACCAAGAACTTCCCAAATTGCTAAGAGGTACGTGACGATACATATTCAAAATGTAACGTAGGATTGTAAAAACTGCGCCTCCCACTGCTATCTTATTGAATGTGTAGGTTACCATAAATGCACGAAAGAGGAAGCGTCGAGACTTGCAGCTTTGGTATACAGGGTGCGATTCGGCGAGAGCAAGCAGGAGCTACAAGCCATCCCGTGAGTGTATTTCCAACGTGTTATCTAGCTTCTGATTTTTGCACAGTTAAACATCGCCTATTCCAATTGCAGGCAAATGCTGAGAGAACTCATCCCGGGCGACCTGATCAAAATACAAAGCGCCAACGACTGGAAGAGATCCATAATCGCTTCTTATAATCAAGATGCTGGTAAGTACGAGCAGAGCTCGACGAAGAGTTTATGCGCAAAAAAAGAACTTTGGGAAACTCAAAAAATAGACTCGATTTTTTTACAAATGTTTCCTCTCTCTCTCTCTCTCTCTCTCTCTCTCTCTATCTCTCTCTCTATCTCTTTCTCTCTCTCTCTCTCTCTCTCTCTCTCTCTCGCTCTCAGGCATGAGTCCAGAGGACGCGAAAATTACATTCCTGAAGATCGTGTACCGATGGCCAACATTCGGCTCCGCGTTCTTCGAGGTGAAGCAAAGCACAGAACCGAATTATCCCGAACTACTGCTGATCGCCATCAACAAACACGGGGTGAGCCTCATACACCCTCAGTCAAAGGTAAGAGTTAACGAAATTACAACGATTATACACGCAGAAAAATACATGGTGCATTCGAATGAGTGTTACTTGTTTCGAGTATTTCATAAATAAGCAACACAAATCATCAGCATTAAATTTATCTTCTGAGTCTCAGTAAGATTAATCAAGAATACTTAAGTTGAAACGAAAATTCTGTTTGTTTCTTAAGGTTGTCTCTAAGGATTGTCTCATTTTAATTTATCCACTCAAATATCTCGAAAAATATAAAAGATACGGAAAAAATGTTTCAGATAAAAGCTGCTCGGTTTAAAGAGGGACATAAGACGACGGTATTATTTTGTTTGTAGATGGCGCCAGCTTCGAGATATTCGCCGACCATTACTTTTCTTAAATGGAAAGCTCAATTTTTTATCGTATCTTCTTCCACCAATTATTTTAAACAACTTTTGTCTGAAACATTTTTTTACTTGCCTAATATTTTTTTGGATATTTAAAGAAAACCTTTTCAATATTTAGCTTACAATATCTCTGCAACTATTTGTCGGAAGAAAAAATAGTACTAGACTTTTTTATTCTATTTAGTTGCAAGAATATACTGCTACAATAGCGCCCTGACTTTTGTTAACTTGATGATTTTGAAATGTCCAAGTACTGTTTATTTTATTCCAACGAACTAGCCGCTAACTCACGGGGTCGTTTCTTTCTTTCTTCTTCAGGATATACTAATAACTCATCCCTTCACGAGAATATCCAACTGGTCGTCCGGCAACACCTACTTCCACATGACGATAGGGAACCTCGTGCGCGGCTCGAAACTCCTCTGCGAAACCTCGCTGGGCTACAAAATGGACGACCTGCTGACCTCTTACATTTCGCTGATGCTCACGAATATGAACAAGCAACGCACGATACGAATCAAATGAGCGAGAACGACGACCCACGAGTCCCCGCGACCGAACGCCAGTAAACATTCCACTACGAGGTGCTAATGTTGAGCGTGTGTGCCGTATGATTCTTCTCTCATAATCCTTCTTCCTCACAGGTGCGCACGCTTGTATAAGTTAATTCAATAAGAATTATCCGCTACGCATAATACACCAGACCATGTCCGCAAGTCGCAGATATCGCGCGTCTCTCGGGAGAAAAATGATTTTAACGTTATATTTTTCATGTACTTCTCTCTCTCTCTCTCTCTCTCTCTCTCTCTCTCTCTCTCTCTCTCTCTCTCTCTCTCTCTCTCTCTCTCTCTCTCTCTCTCTCTCTCTCTCTCTCTCCCCCCCCTTTCTCTTTCTCATATACGCATCACATACACGCCGTTCATTTTTATATTATACACGACGTAAATTCCACACGCGGATGTACGTTCAGTTTCGTCACACAATGTGCTACTCTAATTTATACCCTCCTTCCCCTCTTCCTCCCCCGTGAAAACTTGTCGGAGAAACCGTCCACTTTCTATCACTCTCATGTCCGCCCGTTAATTTATGGTTCATTGATCATTGTTATAAGGGGAACAGCAATCTTTATGTACACAAGTTGTTAGCCGAACGATTTGTACATGATCTACTTACGTTTAAGACTTTCTCTCTCTCTCTCTCTCTCTCTTTCTCTCTCCCTCCCTCCCTCCCTGCCTTTCGTTCTTTTTCCACGCGCAGTACTCTCTGTAAAATATATCACTATTCCGTCGCAATCTCTCTTTCTGAATATCTGAAACACCGACGGACCTTGCGCTCAGGCTTGCGCTACTGCTTCGCGAAGTGATCGCGCGGAATATCCTCCCTGTCTCTCTCTCTCTCTCTCTCTTTCTCTTTTCCTCGCGAATTAACGCGGATTAACACGGGCATAATTAGCAACGGCTACGCATAATTCTTATTCGAGTGTAACGAAAAGGAATTCCTCCGCTACGAAAAGAGCGGCTAGGAACTGCCAGACTTTCTCCGTCCAATGAGGTGCAAGAGTTGCGCGACAAGTTCGGGGACCAGCCGCGAAAACTTCATGTGGCAAATTCGAGAACCAGCCGCGAAAATTCGCGTAACGACGAATACGGGTACACGGGATAACGCACGGTGTGCGTCCGCTGGAAAAGAAGATTCTCCCCAGTGTCTCTCTCTCTCTCTCTGTCTTTCTCTCTCTCTCTCTGCCTTACTGTACTTACTAATATAGCAATAGTTTCGAAATAAACGGCTCGTGTAAGAATGTAATTACTATTAAACCGCTTTTATAATTGTGAATAAAGACGACCACGTTCTTCACGCGCAAAAAGTACGAGCGTTATAATCGTGGGTAAATTCCCATGGTATGTATACTGGCACCTCTCCCTCGCCCCCGCCGCTCCCCTTGTTTCCGAGATCTCTTCGGGAAGACATTCCCAAGGTGATCGTATCGCACTTCCTCTTGGAAAAGATGACGGTGTTCGATTATCTCTCGTACAAAGGAAGGAAGAGAGGGTCGAACTGCAAAGTGCTGATGGCTGAAGGCGGTGGGTTCGTTTAAAAGAGCAAAAATCCACGAACGGCTCTCTCGGCGACTCGCTTGCACGTCTACTTACGCTCTAAGATTTATTTAAAAAATGGAAAGTATATATATATATAAAATATATCGCAACAATCCGCTTCTTCTCTTCGCCGTCCTCCGCGTCGAGAAGAAGCCGCGCAATCGCCGATGATTGCTGGCGTCTTGCGCTCGCCTGCGAATTCTCACGTCTTCTCGGGATTGGGAAATCGAGCGGGGATACGTATATCGGCAGCAAGGACTGTGTAATATAAACTTTCGGTTTATTCTAAATCATATAGAGGCATAAAAATTCATATCTATATATGCATCGTCATTGTACGTCTCGGTGTAACTACAATAAAGCGTATATATGTGTGTATATTTATATATATATATATATATATGTATATTAATTTTCAACGTGTCCGAGTCACAGAGAAGTTCTAAGAACACCCCGGATTGTACGGAGATTCCCAGAAGCCGTTTTCTTTATTTCTTTTTTCGTTCAAACTCAAACAGCACAGCGCGTAAGGCTCCCGCAGCTCGCAGCGGCCATATTGGGTAGCGACGTCAGAGGCGACGAAGGACCTGCCGAGAGAGTTCTCGCGCGCCTTGCCAAGTAAAAAGGTATTTGTACGAAAGAATACCTCGGGAGTCAATCAATGACCACAAAGTGACTAACGTGAAACCTAGTCATGCGCATGCGCGATCATTCCGTATGATCAATCTCGTATTGCAGTCGTTTCACGGCTGCTGGTTGACTTTCGAGGAGGAAACAGGAGTATGTTCCAGCGGTCCGCGCAAAATCTTTTCACTTGGAAATGGCATGCGAGAAATTTGTGTACGCGTTTTCTCGCTGCTGACGTCATCGATCACGAGTCTCGCGGCGAAGGACCAGGAGCCTAAAGTTCTCGGGAGGAGTCCTCGTGTACGGTATAATTTTTAAATTAAATCACGCGCGCACACCGTCGGCACGAAAGTGAGTCGCGGCGATTTCTGGATTTCCGCTGAGGATTGGGAAAAATGCGCCGTCATAATTGTCTAGATTCGACTCCTGCGTCTCGCTGGAGTCACGTTACACGTTTTACCTGGTTACGGTGCGGTCGAAGGAGAACTAATCTCACGCAAGGTGCTTCAGGATGGTATGTCCGTAACGCAACTGTTACCGAGACGGAATATGTTGAACGTACGTAAGATTAAATGAATAAAAAAACAGGCTCCTCGATGTACAATCAAAAAAGAAAAAGAATTAAAATCAAGCCCATAAGAGCCAGCACAAGATGCTGGCTGCGAAGAGGTCCGCTCAGCTTAGCGTCTCGATTGAGATGAAAAAGAGAGAGACGAATGTCTCGGTCGACGTCAACGACGGTCGAATACGTTCATGACTCTTCAGTGGTTTAAATATGCGCGTTAATTTAGCAAGATAAAAGAAATTTTACTCTATCTTCTGCATTTCCTGTAACTAAATCAATATCTACATCTGTAGCACTGAAGCGGATCAAAAACGTCGACCACAACAGTGTCCTTTTTTTTTTTATTTTAGTATAGTAACTTACAAGAGAAAACAGGGAACTCGGAAATTCAAAAAATTATGAAACTTTGTGTGAAAATAAAGTAGTTCGTTCGTAATGCAAAACTATTTTTTGTTCGTGCGAAATTTCAGTCTGAAGGGGTGAAACCACCCTTCGAAAAAGAAAATTCATTTTTAGCGTGTATCTTTTAAGATACGAGACAAAAATGATTTATATGAAAGTTGCGGTGTATTTCATACTCCTTGCAACTGTGTATTCAGATATTGCAAAATTGAAAAATTTTTCAAAACCCCCTCCGCCCTCCCCCAATTTTGCAAAATGTGAACACACAATCGCAAAGAGTATGAAATACACTGCAATTTTCACACAAACCATTTCTGCATATGCCTTGTATTTTAAAAGATACGCTAAAGATGAAAATGGTTTTTTCTTCTTGGAAGGGTGGTTTCACCCCTCAGATTGGAATTCCGCACGAACAAAAAATACTTTTGCGTTACGGATGAGCTGCTTTACCTCCACACAAAGTTTCATAATTTTTTGAAACAGGTTCCTTACTTTTCCTTCTTAGCAAGTAAAACTTTTCGCAGCCGACATCTCCTCTACGCTGGCTCTCGCAGGCCTGATTTGAATCTTTCATTTCTGCGTAAAACCGCAATTCTCCGATGAGTGCTGTGCGTAGACACCGACAGAGAGATACGCATGCTATATGTATAGCTCTATATATGTATAATATATACACAAAATAACACATACATCTATTATACCAAAGAAAAAATAAGAAACATCCGTACACGCCATTTCGAAACCGGGTCTCACGTGACTGACAATATATATCAATGGGTGCGTTCAACGGAGAAAACCGCTCAGTGAGCGATTAGTGACTATTGGTCCTTACTGTTAGATCCTTACCTTACATTCAGACCAATAACGTTGACGAATTACTCAACAGTTGCGCAACTGTTGATGTCGTGAACGCATCCATTGTCTTTCTCTTTCGCTCGCCCCCTCCCCCTCTCTCTCTCTTTCCGATATTATATATATATTATGAGAAGAGAAATGAGAAATGTACACGAATTCTACTGACTTACAAGCCACGGTCTGGCCACGATTTCACGATCAGCACCAATTCGCGCGATACACATGCACTCTCTCTCTCTCTCTCTCTCTCTCTCTCTCTCTCTCTCTCTTACTCGAAGGATGCATCGGTATGCATCGTCCCTGTGCATCTCCTAATAAATAATGAAAAGTCCGTCGGCGCGTTGCGCGTGTGCGAATTTACAAATGTACCAAATGTTGAGCACGTCGCACGCGCGCGCGCGGCTTCAAAAATACACGGCGTACTTCGTCCCCCGCCCCCCCTCACCCCCCTTTGTACACGATGAGCCTTTCACACACATACACATACATTGACACACACATACATACGCTCCATCAGAGCCAGCGCTCGTACTTCGATACAGTTTTCCCGACAATTTCTCTCCTTGACAAGGTAATCCTCCTCCTCCTCCTCCTCCTTCTCCTTCTCCTCCTCTCTCTCTCTCTCCTTTTGTACTTGGCGGGACGAGGAGGTTCCCGAAGAACCGCCCGCGCCGGCGCGCTTCCCAAAAAGAGAAACAGGCGAAACAGGAATTCGCATTATGATACTCCCTCCAGTCGGGGCGACGACAAGGCGATTTCACGACGCTATTTCGAGAGTCCGCTGTACCGCGTTCCGAGCGTGGTGCGATTTCTTTCCTCCTCCCTCGTACCAGACATTAGTGTTAAAAGCACAACCATCGTCGTCGGTGACCGATATGCAAACGTATACGCTAAGAGACGCTGTGTTACTTCCCGTTTACAATGATACGCCAAGTATGCGCACGCTCGTCCCTAACTATACACTCCTTCGCGATAGTCCGTCTTACACTTTTGATCCTCCTCTTCAAGACACCGCGAGATGTGACGTTCAAACTCCAAGGAAAGGTGTACGTGAATGAAACGATCAACCCTTGCAATCCGTAGCTGCGCGGCGGGGATTCTTTTTGCCAATCCACCCTTTCGCTTCAAGCTCTAAAGACTGATCAACCAAAAACCGTCAGGGTTGTGGCTGGTCTCGTTTAAAAAGGGGTTTCAAGACAGTTCAAACGCGACTTAATTTTGATATGCCCGATGAGAGGATTGAATACCTGGGAATTTTTTAAAACAAAGACCCATCTACTCAAAAAGAGGAAATACATTGAAATCGTCGCGGAAGTCGCGAACGAGATCAGATCCGACGGATGATGTCGCGCGCACTCCTCTGAAGAATTCTACCGTCAAACTTCGCGTACTTGCAATTGCCTACACGCAGCCTCGCGTTTTCAAGCCGTTAAGACCTACAGTCGCTATATAAATTATTATCTCTGTAAACCTCCGTGTATCAACAACTTATGTGTCTAGCCTACGATTCAGCGCGCGCGCGCGCGTGTGCGATTCTCACGCGTCGGGTCGCACGACCGGACGCGAGCCGAGCGAAACGCTACGTCTTCGTATTGTCCAGGTTCCGCGGCGCGCTAGCGTTGATCTCGAGTAACAGGTCCTTTGTCACAAGGTACGCGCGATCGCCGTCGCTCTCACTGCCGCCGCCGTCGCTGTCGCCGTCGTCCTCGTCGTCGTCGTCGTCCTCCTCCTCGTCCAGGTCGGGACGACGCAGCGTGGACGAGGTCATTACATCGTCCGTAACACTACATCGTAGACTTTGGTTCACGTTATGATTATCTAGAAGACATCAGAGACCCGACTGCGGCGGTTGATGGGTGTTCCACGGCACGTCGGCGATCGCGGGCGGTATGCTCGCCTGGTTGTGCATGGCGCGCGGCGCGCGCATAATCTCGTCAGCGGGCGGACAGTGCGGCCGCGGGCCCGGCTCAGGCGTGTACGTAAAAGTGAGGCCGGTTGCGTAGATGATGCCGTCGTTGCGCACCAGAGAGACCGGCACCTGTGTCGGCTGTCGCACCCATAGCCACTCACCGCGAAACAGCGAGATGTCCGGCACGACGCAGAGCATGCTCTCCTGGCATCTGTACATGGTCTCGGCCTCGACGTCGCCGAACCACACCTGCAGGTTCGGCGTGAAGTTGTCGCCGGTGAGCTCGAGCATCGCCACGTCGCCGCCACCGTTCAGGTGTAGGCTGTGGACCAGCGGCACCGGCGTCACCGGCGATCGCACCGGTCCCATGCCCTCGAAGAACTGATACTCAGCTTTGTCGGTGCTGATGATCGTCCAGCAGGCGCCGTCGTTGATCATCTCCTTGTTGGCCTCCTTCGGGCAGGGCGTCGCCTGGAACTGAATGATGCGCTCTTGCGACAAGCACAGGTACATGTGGTCCGTGTCCTTCATGTAGAAGGCGCACTTGTGCAGCTGGGAAACCGGGTCGTCCGCCTCCAGACTGGCCATCTGCTTGTCCACCTTGCGGATCACCAGCCGTGGTAGCGCCATACCCGTGACGGAGCAGACTAGCTTCACCGTGCTGCCGTAGTGCACGTAACCGTCGCGCACTTGGAACTCTTCCGACTCGCTCTCGTTGTCGTCGAGCAGGTGGATCGTAAACGCGCCCCACTGCGTCGAGCTCGCATGGAAGTTGCCGTTCTCCACGTGAAGGTAACGCGTGCTCACCGTCTGCGAGCGTAGCCGATTGAAGAGCGCCACCTTCGTGCCGCTGGCGATGCACAGATCCGCGTTCTTCAAGGATTGCTTCTTCTTGGACGGCTTCGAGATCACCTTGATCCGCTTGCTGTGGAACACACCGATGTCGTGGCCGCTGCCGTAGAACATCTTCACGGAGAGCATGAAGTGCTTCCGCTTGTCCGAGTCCGAGATGTAGAGGGTCTTCGCCGCGCAGTACTGCTTGCCGTTGTTCAGGTCCAATTGCTGCATGTCCTGGTCGGAGTTGCCGATGCCGATGAACGCGCACAGCTGGGAACTCTGGTCGGTCTCGCCCTCGCGCAGCATCTGCTCCTGCCGCATCCTCCAACCGTCGCCGAACAGGTAGATACACGGCGGCGGGCAGAAGAATCGTTTCTCGTTGCCGTACGACTTCTGGGCGACCTTCGCATGCAGGATCACGATCACCATGTCGCTGCGGTCGCGCAGGTAACGTTCCATCGCCTCGCGCGTCAACCGCTGATCCTGATGGTCGGGCCTGTAGATGCCAGAGCCGAAGCGTGGGTAGACCGACATGACCGAGGTCGGCGAGGGCGGTGATTGCATGCCGTGCGCCATCGTGGGCAGGCCGAACTGGTGTGGCATATTTAAGTGAGTCCGAAATCGGCTCTTACTGAGGAGAGACGATGGGGCTGCCGCTGCGGCGCCGTTATACCTTCTTCATCTTCCAAGCGCGTCCGCTGCCTCCCGGTGCTCTACCTACACAAGTCGACACAAGTGTGTGATTTTAATCGCAAGCCGGCTTCTACAACGCTGTAATTTTTACATTGACGGAGCTTCGCGAACCAAGCGAGTTTTAAGTCGAGTGGGAGAGATCAGGGAGAAATTGAAGCACTTGTGCTTGTGTGATCAGCGATCGAGCTGGCGACAGGGGCAGATGCAAGGCCGGACAAGCTGGAATAGCTGTTATCACGTTGTTAAACGTGCGATAATGTATTCGCGTTAATGAGCAATCGCGATCGTACCGTTAGTCGCCGGGGCGATTAAAGCGTACGAAACTGCATACAAATGCCCGCTCCTTTGCCTGAAGCTTCAGCGTGAGAAAGACTTTTTGCTTTTTGCGGGGACGGGACGTAATTAACTCGAGATATCTTTCTTCAAATGAGCTACCAAGAATTGCTGGTCTTGGCACAGGAAAGAGGAAACGTTCGCGTATACACACACGCAGGCAGGCACGCACACACACGCACGCACGCCGTGAGAACCGAGCTGGGCTCATTTTTCCTGCATGAATTAAAGCGCTCCTGTTGTGTCCATTGTGGCTGCGCGCACGTAGATTTTATATTTATACGGGGAGAAACGCGAATAATAAAGCGCCGATGGCGCGATTTTCCGGCGCGATTTTTTGTGCAAACGCCGCGCTAATTGCAGCGAGCCGATATGTATAGCGTGAATTTGATCATTCCTGCGGCAGTTATCTATCTCGCGGAAATATCGTAATTCCTATTTATACACACTGACGTTTCTTTCATCTTTGAGAAACTTTGCAGATTTTGCAAGTTCCCTCCAACCAACGAGGATCTGACGTTTATGAGTCATGAGGGGGGTGTGTTCCTTCTTGAAGAACTTTTAAACTGGTGCAACAAGTTAGAATGAGAAAGAATATATTTGTTTCACCTCAACTTATCGCATTAACTCACAAGTCCTTCAAACAGGAACAGCCCAGAACTAAAACACTGACAGCATTTCAGCACACAATGCACACAGAATTGCAGATTTCAAAGATGCATGCTTCAATGCCATGCAATGACTGTATCTGCAGTGATCAACATGAAATGTACAAAACTATTAAATAGAAAATGGCACACACACGCTGAGGAAGCTGACAGCTCAACGATATCAGTGTGAGAGGGGGTGAAAATAAATGGCAGGGTATGCAACGCTTGAGGTATCCATCCTAAAGCATGCAGCGCCAAGTGGCAAGATCTTCCTCTCCACTGAAACCAAGCACAGGACAGAATTCCTGGCTGAATACTCCAGAAATAGAAGCGTAAGTGTGCGCATTATTCAGCAAGAAAAGCACATGACACACTGCTTCTATTCTAATGTTACACAAGAAAATGCACAACATGCAGAATTCTCAACGTACACTCCCACACGGACGCTGTGAGCTCGCTCGAATGTCATAACGTCGTCGCTCTCACACTCGCCGGATATATTCACATTCGTGTACAGATTTCTTGTCCACCAGCGAGCCGCTGCACATTGTCGACAATTTGAGAGGAGACAGGTGCACAGTCGAGACACGTCGAGGAAAACGGGAGAGGAGATGACTAACGCAACCTGGTGCGGTCAGCTCAGCTGTAAACAAAGCTTCGATATAACAAACAAAAGCCAAGGTACGCACAATAAACAACAACCGAGGCAACAGTAATGTCGCTCCAACGGCCTCCGCCAAGGAGAGCCAAGACAAGAGCCAAACGAGAGTAACTCGGCGGCTTCTCCGGTCGAACAGCACTCTCGCGTGTAACGTCGCGACGGCGAAGGCGCGGGAAGCGAGATGCGTCACGAAACGTCGTGAGAAACGCAGCAAGTGCGCTCGCTCGTCGGAGGCGGCCGGAGCGTCGCGAGACAATCGATTCGCCAAGCGAAGGCGAGCGACTCGAGAGCACGCTCTTGTTTATTTACTTCCCGGCGCGAGCGAGGAGGTTACGCGCGGCGCCGAGCGGCGTACAGGTTACGTTACGTGACGCACACTTACCTACTCACCGTCGGCGGTGCGCCGAGTGCGGCCGCGTGGCCGCGTGCATCCCGCAAGCGATCGATCATCCGGAGCAGCCGGGAAGTCCCGGCGATCGTTCACCGTCCGCTCGGTTCTGCCGCGCGTCCTCGTCGCCTCTGTTCTCTCCCTAATCCATTCAAAAAACACCTGTTCACTTTCCCAATTTTCCGGGCAGTCCTGCCAACGTCCGCGAGCGAACCGCCGTGGCGCCGGCGCGCATGCGCGCGCGCGCGCCCGCGACTTCGAATTCGATTCGTCTCGCGCGAAGCGCGAGATAACCTCGAAACCCGCGGCGGCCGACGAGACGAGGAGCGCTCTTATGCGGGCTGCGACAACGTAGATTATGAACGAACGCGGGTTTCCGATCGAGACTCGCGGACGAGGGATTCCTAAAACACGATCTAAAACACCTCCAACACGCGACGCGGTCGACGGACAACTAAGTTTGCAGCGACTCACGGCGACCGACGTGGAGTTATTACCGCCGCGTAAGTGGCCGCTCTATAGCTGGGGAGCAAGAGAGAGAGAGAGAGAGGAGAGAGGGGAGGAGAGTGAGAGAGAGAGAGACAGAGGAACGAGCAAGGAGGGGGACGCTCCGCGCTAGTTCATAGGCCCACGGTCCGCCGAAATGTTCAAAACAAATAGTGCTGCTGATGGAGATTTGCGGAAATCCGCGCGAAAGTCCCTCTCGCGAGTTTCGACTCCGAGGACACGCCGGTTCCGTCGGCGAAACGGTCACTTCTTTAACACAGTTTCCTTCGTCTTCTCGAAATCCTTGGATCCTGACGATCGTCTCCGCGAGGATCTCGAGACTCTCCTCGTGGCGGTCGGTTGAAGAGACCCGTGGGGATAGAAAAGCCTTATCTACGCGGAGGAGCTGGGAACGGACCCAGCCGGGGAGAAGCCGTGTGTCGCTTCCCGAATCGCGACCTGGGTACGAGAATAACTCAATTAACGGCTATCGCGAGCACTAACCGCTGGCGAGCGACGCGTCGATACACTTTCGAGGTTGTATTATTTGAGAAGTAGCTCGTGCGCTCTCTCGTTCTCCCTCGCTCGCTCGCTCGCTCGCTCGCTCTCTCTCTCTCTCTCTCTCTCTCTCTCTCTCTCTCTCTTTCTCTCTTTCCCCGCCTGACACCGTCTCTACCTGTCTTTCTCCCTTCCTCTTTCTCCCTTCCTCTCCCCCTAATCGCGATGACACTCTTTTTTTCTAATTCCGCGCGATACTTTCCGCGACAACACGGCGCCCGCGCGCGCCAACGGATACGTCACTGGCGCTCTGCAGATTCTATTGTTTTACTGTTGTACAATGGCCCGACCGACAGACCGCCGACCGACCCGAGCGCCCCCACCTCTCTCTCTCTCTGTCTTTTTCTCTGTCTCTCTCTTTCTCTCTCTTGCTCTCTCTTGCTCTTCTTCTCTCTTGCTCTTTCCCAGTCTCTCTGCCCCCACCTGGCGCGCGCTCGCCTTCGTTCCCCTCCCCCGGCCCTCGACGCGTCTCCATCGCACGATCTTCCCCCCTGCCCCGGCGGCGCCCCCATGGGCCGTGGAATTGCTGCCGCAAAAGGATGTTGGGGTTACCCTGGGGGGCGTGGGAAAAACCTGCTGTGGGAAAGAGTGGGTGGCCTCTACCTCACTCCACTTCTGCGGTGATGACGATACGATATATATGCCGCATCTATGAATGCGCGCGCGTGTGTGTGTATGCGTGCGCGCTCGCGCGTGTGTGATCTATATAGCAGGCGCGCACATATGCGACGCGTCGCGCGTATATCCGCGCGGAGCTCATCGCGTGATCCGCGAGAAGAGAGGTGCAGCCCGATGCTGCGTAATAACGCAGCGGCGGCGTGCGTGCGTCGTGTACGCACGAGGAGGAGGACGAGGGGCCGACGTCGTCGTCGTAGTCGACGGCGCGAGTCGAAGCGCGTCGGCGACGAGGTGCTTCGAAAATGACGCTCGCCTTCCGCCAAGCGACTTGGTGCGACCTTTCCTGCGGCTGGCGGTCGTTCGTAGAGCGATCGAGTCGAGGTCGGCCGCGAGCCGGTAGCGATCGAGCGCGCGCTGCCTTGCTCTCCCAGGACCTCCGGACCGGCGTGATCCTGCTCATGCGGCCGAGGAGATTCGAATGTCTCGCTGGCGCCTTGCGGCCGCTTTGTCGCGCTTTTTGCGGAATGACGGAAAGTGGGATTCCGCGAGAAGGCCGGGTGCAGAAGAGGTGCTGTTCCGGAAATCGGTCCCGGAGATTTTGGATTTATGATGCTCAATTTCGTCACCTTCGGTTAAACTTCCCTAGTAGCACATATTGTTGGGCCAATATTATAGCCAATGTAACTCCAATGTAAGTCAATATTGGTATAACAATGCTATGCAATATTGGCGATATATTGTAATTTAATAATGTCTAACCAATATTGGCTGTATATTGGGATACACTGGACCAATGTAACCCCAATTTATGTCACCGTAGCCAATGTAACACCAATGTAACGCCAATGAAGTGTGCTGCTAGGGTTAACTGCCGGTTATTCCGCCGGAATCGACCAATAGCATTTGTTTATTCTGATTAACAAGAAATGCGGTTGATCAATTCCATTGGAATGACGTTTCAGTTTAACCAAAGGTGAAGAAATTGTCGTCATTAGTCGTAAGGTTGGTAGGCCTTGAACCGACTTGGGTATTTGCTTCCGTAATTGACCAGCTGATCACGGCTTGGACGTGTCGTGTATTATTTCTGTTTACCAGCTTAGTTTCATTAATTTTGTAATGCTACGTAGAGAAATGGATAGATTTTTTATTATTTGTTATTTGGATAATTGGTTGGTTGATCAGTTACGCAGCGTATCGAAGTTGGCTTAAGGATTACCAACTTTATAACTGAAAACAAAATTTCCGAAACTAATTTCGGAATAAACCTATGATGCAGCTCAGAAAGGGCGCCTTCTCGATTCACTGATTTTCTACTTTGCGATGCTCCCCCTCCCCCTACCTCTATCCCACGGTTGACGTCATAGACTTGGCTACGCTCAGCTATGATATAGATAGAGCAAATTCGCCGAAGTGTCGGCGGTGACTGTTCGGTTAGCGCAGTGCTTGAGCGAACTTGGCAATATATCGAAAATCGAAGAGCGAAAGTCGCGCGGATATATTCGCTCCAGATTGCACAAGGTGTCGGAAAATTGCTCAAAATGCATTCGACTTGCGTTCTCGAGACGTTCTAAGCTGCGTTTTGTGCTGCGAATTATTTTAACTCCCCTAACCAATCAGCGGACAATATTTTTTTAATGTTTTTCAAATACTTATTTTACATTTTTTTACATTTCTTCCATTCATTGTACAAAAAATATTTATTCAACGTTCATTTTACATTAATTCTTCATTTAAAATAATAATTAGAAGAAAATATTTATTATTAATTAAATTATTAATTAAATTAAATTAAATTAAATTAAATTATTAATAAAATATTTATATAATATTAAAGTTTATTTAATGTTTGTTTAATATTTATTTTACATTAATAACTCGTTTAAAATTATTTAAAAAATTTTTAAGTTTTAAAAATGTTTTTTAAATGTTTTTTCTTTGATATTTTTGAAAACATTTTTTTAATGTTGTTTTTCTGGCTGGGTATATAGAAGGGTAACGGAAACTTACAGACAATAATATTTTTCAATAAGAACCTAACCGTGCTCGAGAGTTCCTTTTCGACAAGAACACCCTTAAAAGATGCTAAACGCAGTCGACGTCATTTTTCTCGTTATTTATTAATTATAACAGTAATTTTATCATTATTTATATATATCTGATAAAACGAATTATAATAAATGCTTCGTTCACTAAAATATTATGGATAAAAATCGCAGGATCTCATTTCTGCGCTCATACCAACATCGGGAGAAATAATTAAGGACGTTCGAGCCGACGTCTTTTTCAAGACGAAAACACGATTAGAGAAGGTTGAGATCTTTACTCGCTCTCCCTTTTCTTCCCTTGTGCGCCCGCCATCCTCCCTCACAATATCCCATCCGCGTCAGTTTTCGGTTCTCATCGCGGGTTCACGCTACAAGCGGAAGTGCGACGAAATGTGCCGCGCGCGTAAACACGCGACTTCTCGTCTTCCGCGGGTTCCGCGCTTTTTCGGCCCCGTCGGGCAATCGCGTGTCTCTCTCTCTCTCTCTCTCTCTCTCTCTCTCTCTCTCTCTCTCTCTCTCTCTCTCTCTCTCGTTGCCGGCCGCGTTCGACAGCGCGTCGAAAGTCGCCGAACGTAGCGAACGCGTCGACCGCGGACGAAGTTTTTAGCCGAAGTCCGGATCGTGATTCCCACGCTCGTCCTTTTTGCGGCGCGCGGCGCGAAGGGGGCGGAGGGGTGGCAGGCGCGAAGATACGCCGGCGCGCGCTCTGCGCCGCTCTGCGCGCGTGATCCCGATACGATCTGCTATTATAATTGTTGCACCCGCGAGTCCTAATTATTATATCGCGCTGCCTCGCGCGCCGTATAAACAAGACGGGGGACAACGACACGTAATTGGCCCCAACTTCGCGCATAATTAGCGCGCACCGCTCTCTTCGCCGCGCAACCGTCGAGCAACCAGCTGGAATGCCGTGCGCGAAAATCTTTGCGTTAATTCAGCTTCGGCTGCAACCCCTAACGATCTTACGAGCTGCGTGAGCGTGCGAATCTCGTTTCCTCCATTTTGCTTTTTCGTCGCATTCCCGAAATTCGACGTGCGCTGCGTTTCTCGATATTACAGTTCTTTTTTACAGTTCTCGAGAGGCAACCTCGGTGATGCAGCGAGGGAATCCCGAAGAATGGAAAGATGGAAATTATGAGAAATGGAAAAAAAAGAAATTATGAAAATAATCCATAAAAATCTTTCCTCAAGGCTCTTCCTTATTCTCGAAAATTTATGAAAAATATCGTATTCCCCACACAGCACGAAATATTACAGAAATATCATAGTTGGATTGCAATATACCAATAATATTGCATATTATAATACAATATTACGGAATATTACTGATATATTACGTTTATATATACAATGTTGAAATATTACTGTTCAAAAACCTTTCTTAAAAATTTGGTAAGATCGAATAATTAAATGAATCGCAAAATCATATTTTTTGAACACGATATAAATATCTCATATATATAACTATAACAAGTCTGTTTCGAGGCAATGCAAGGCGAATGTCAACTTTCTTGTTTACAGAAGTTTATTCATTCCTTTCCGAGCTCGGACGCAACAACATTGATTTATCAGAAGCAGAATTATTAAGGTTATTAGCGTAAGCTTTAGAAATAAGGTAAACATTTTGAAACCTTTTATCGATATTTCCACGAAGCGAGAGGCGAAAATAGTTAAATTAACGAAATTTCCTACGATGTGAGAAAAGATATTTATTCATCATTAAACATATCGAAATTTCCCACGAAGGGAAAAGGCTTGTTCTTACAAAATTGAGAATTCTTCATATACGAACTCCTACGATAGGAGGGGAGAAAGTTGCTCTTTAAAACTAAATTTATTTCATCAAATATAAAATTCCACTAATTTATTTCTATTTTACAGATTCTAAAGTTTTCTTTTTTAAAAATAAAAAACTAGACTTAGGCTAAGACGGAATCAAATTCATCCCCTAAAAGTTCATCCTAGTCTTCAAGAAATTACACTGCGAGACTTGACTTGAAAAACTTTTCTTATGAAGCTGAATCCGTCAACGAAAACAAGATTATACTAAGGATCTTTTTACTCTCCGATAGATATTTTCAAGACTTGGATATCAAATAAATATTAATTTTCTTTAACATTTTTTCTTTAAATAACTATACTTGTTTGTTTAAAAAACTTTCCCTCTTATAAAGTTTATTGTTCTAACTTAAAGAATTAAAAGAACCAAGTTATCTAAAAAATGTGAACCAGATAGAATTAATTTTCAACAATTACGATAATAATATTGATATATTACGTTTATATATAACATTAAAATATTACAGTAATATTGTATTACAATATATCTCATCCCAAGCAGCAAGATGATGTCAAATGACGTTTTTGTTATGTCTTACAGACGTTAGAAACGTCATTGAGACGTCATTTAATGTCACTTGCTATTTTAAACGTTATACGTCGCATTAGAGTACGAATAAAATATTTCAGGGATAATACACTGTTTTGTAATAAGACAAATATATTTTTTATTAATATTATTCAAACATATATATACATATATAAACACTTTGCACTGCAATATACGTTTGAGTATTATTAATGAAAAATATATTCATAATATCACAAAATCATATTTAGGTACACATGCATATAATTAACTTTCACGGGATAAAATGTGATCAAAGTAAATTTATTATGCATATAGTTTTCGAGTGGATGCCATTGTATGCAATATTGGCAAGATAATACATTTATCGTGATACGGAATTTTACAAGCTTTTGCGCCTATATTTTGACAATGCTATGATTCTATAAATCTGTTTTGCCTTGCTACAACTATTCCAAAATGTTGTGATTTGCACGGTGTGTTTCTTGTAAAATAATATTAACAACAAAGATAACATTTCAAATCTAATATTAGATTAACTGATATAAAATTAACTCTTATAGAAGAAACACTCAAATATTGAATGTAAACACTCAATATTTAAGTGTTTCCTTTTTTCCGTAAGAGTAATCTATAACTTCACAATATTACGGTAATATTATTGTGACATACCATTACAATATTACTGTGATATATTATCATAATATTACTGTAGCGTATCACCATAATATTACCGTGATGCATTTCGGCGGACATATTAATATTACTGTGATATCACTGTAATAATGCAGTAATATTTCTACTATATTACATTATAATATTGCAATGGGGGAGCAACAAAATATTATTGTGATATTGTTGTGATATTACATGTTATGTGGAAATCTGTTCCCGAAGGATGAGGAAATCCATGGAAATGATAAGAGATGGAAAAAAAAGAAATTACGAATTTTTGAAAATAGTTCAGAAAAATTTTTTCTCGAGGCCCTTATTCTCAAAAATTTGTGAGAAATATCGTATACAATATTTCATCAGTGACGGGGCAACTTAATTGGCTGAGGATTGCGATATCTGGCATGACTTTCGTGAAATATCGCATGCGACATTTTTCAAAAATAATATATAAATAAATAAATAAACAATAAAAAAATAATAATAAATATATAAGTAATATATAATAAAATATATAAAAAATATAAAATAAAATATATAAATGTATAATAAAAATATATAAATAATATATATTAATCGCGCGCGGTCGCGCGACATTGTCGTCGCGACTGCGATTGAAACCGTTCGATTGAATTCGCAGCGGCGAGTCGAGTTACGTGCAGACGTGCAGCTGATCGCGCGCGACTTCTCTGCGAATGTGTGCGCGCGCGCTCTCGCATCGTTCGTCAGCTGGGAACGCGAAACCGAGAAGCCGAGAAGTGTGCGCAAGTACGACGGTATTTTCCGCGAACGAATGTGCGGTCGACGATAATTCCGCGAGCAACGCGTGCCTCGGCGGTTCCTCGCATTCTCATGCGAGCGTCACGATGCTAATTGCGCGCCGCGGCGACGCGCGAGTTCGACTTGTCGGGAGGTTGCACATTTTTAGGTTACGCGAGAATATAGACGAAAATCGCACGAGTGAACTCGTCGCGAAGCATGCTCGATAATTACATTAATTTCAGAGGCGTTGGAATCTCTGTTTCCCTCCCCCTCCCTCTCTCTTTCGCACCCTCTTTCTCTCTCGTGCGATTCGCTGCTTTTATCAGCGCATAATTAAATAGTCGTAATTAAATAATCTCATAAATAATGGGAGTGTACGGCTTGTGGAGGCTACTGGATGCGTCCGGGAAGCCGGTGGTGTTGGAGAATCTCGAGGGCAAGGTTCTAGCAATTGGCAAGTAACGATAATCTCTAAGATTAATTGATCTTGATTGCAAGAAGGCCATGCATAAAGCATAATGTGAACCTTACAGATGTATCAATATGGATATACCAGGTGTTGCAAGGATATCAAAATCAGCATGGTGCTTCCAAGCCTAATGCTCATCTGCTTGGCTTGTACACCAGGATATGCAAGCTCTTGTACTACAGGATCAAGCCAGTTTTCGTTTTTGACGGTGGTGTGCCAATGCTCAAGAAAAATACAATTGTGAGTATGACTGACACTTACCTCTTAAATGACAAATATAACTGCTTTTTTAACTTGCATGTTTACAACACAAGGCAGATGCGGTATACACTGCATGGAACTTTAAACACTCCATGCATCTATGCACAGGCGAAACTGTTCCTCTATCTTGATTATAATATTGTTCGTACGTAATTAGCTCACCGTGAGAACCAGGTAGTGAGAAAAGAGCCTCCTCATTCTTTTGTGTTCACAGGCCTCACGCAGGAAGCAGAAATCTATTGCCACGAGTAAGGCGCAGAAGATGAAGGCAGACTTGATAAACAACTTGATAAAGCACAGTGTGGTGAAAACTGTTCTCAATAAGGATTCCAAGGTGGATCAGATTAATGGGACGACGCAGATCACGATAAATTTGCAAGGCAAACACGCGGAGCCAGACATGTTTGCTTTGCCCGACATGCCCAGCACCAGTGGCCTACAAACTTTTGTCAATGATGAGGAATACGATTCCGACGCGTCGGTCGAGCTGAGCCCGCGGAAGCAGTCCAAGTGGATGGGAAACATACACAATGTCGACGTAACCACCGGCGAGTTTAAGGCACTGCCCGCGGACGTTCGTTACGACATACTGACCGACCTGCGGGAAACGAGGAAGCAGAACTCCTGGGGTCGTCTGCACGAGATGCCCGAAGTATGTGTTCGATAAATTTCGCGTACGGTATGTATGATGATGCAAATTTGCAGGTCAATATTTCACACGAAAAATCACATCCGATTGTAGGAGTCACAGGAGTTCTCAGGCTTTCAGATGAAGCGCTTGTTGAAGCGCAGATACGTGCAGCAGTCGCTGGAGTCCGCCGAGAAGGAAATGGGCGGGAAAACATTGACACTGGAGGAGCTCGACAAGCTGCTGACCGAGCAAGGAATCAACACGAAGGGTAGAGACATAGCGTTTCGCATAGCCGCCGATGACACGACCAGATTAATCTACATCAGTGGTATGCATGAACTTGGTAACGCTTGGTTCCTGAAGAGGAAATGTTACGCGAGGCGCAAGAGTGTTTATTTATTTCTTTCGGTTTTACTCAACGTCTGTTGAACATGTAAAGTGCTTCGTTGTTTGAAGTTGAGTAACTTGCAAGCAAAGCAAATTTTTGACCGCTTGGTGATTCTAATGTCCAGTCATAGTTCATGACACACTGATATATGATAACCTTGTGCCATTTTGTAGACAAGAACGCGTTGGCGAGAAGTTCCACTGAAGGCAAAGCAGGGACGGACAAGAACGATTCGCCGCCGAATGAGACGGAGGAAGTCGAGCCGGTTGCCGGCCCAAGTAATCCCACACCAATCGTAGAGAACATGAACGAGTACGAGTTGAACGATGATTCCGACGACGACATTGCGCCAATCTACGATGATCCTCTGCCCATCGCGGAGGATGTAAATGAATACACGTTTGACAGCGACGTGGAGCCTGGCACGAACGAGCCTGATGTGAACGAGTCACTGCCTTTGAGCAAGAAATACTTCAGCAAGAACACGAGGAATCCCGCGTTGACGTACATGTTGGAGTACAGCGGTTTAACCCAGAATCAGATAATGCACCTCATCAATCACAACGACGAGAGCCATAAAACTAGAAGCAAGAGTGTGAAGACCCCCGAGAAAGATGCTCGAAGCTCGGAATTAGAGGAAAGTAGAAGCCCGACGGACGATAAGCCGGCGTCATTTAACCCTGTCGAAGATCACGAGGATCGTTCAAAAGCTGTGGAATTACAGGATACGCAGGACGCGCGTTCAGCGAAGGACAACTCGGCTGTCGAGTTAATCCCGTCCAATCCGGAGTCGGACAACTTCATCGAAGTTGAGCCTTTTGAAGATCATGAAACGTCGGGGTTCACCGCGGCGTCTCACGCCACAAGCTCGAGTAATGAAGTAATACCTGAGCGATGTTCCATCGCAGAGTCCGATGACGTAACGAAAATAGACACGTCAGACTCGGACACCGACGATTTCATAGAGATCCACGACGTTCCGATACCTGACGTGGATGTCTCGAGCGGCAGCGTGAAGAAAGGGAATATCGAAATAACCATCAGATCCGACGAAAAGCTGGAAGACGACATGTTTGCCGATATATTTGGGAAGGTAGATCGGAATGAAGCTGGGCCGACGAGTTGTGCGAAAGAGATTGCGCCCGTCGGTGCGAATGATGAACCGCGGACAGTGTTGGTTCCGGCAGAAACTGTCAAGGACGGTAATAATACAAGACAACTGGACACTATACCTGAAGAACCCGAAGAAGCAGTCACTGAGAAAACAGACGTCGAATCGCCAGAAAACGGTCAGTCAATCGAGAACGTATCGAACAATGAGAGCAGAACATGCGATTCCCGGAGTCCTGACAAACTAGCGGACCAAGGTAATACGAATAGTGAAGTTGATCCTTCCAATAAACACGTACAAGAGAATCCAGTGGTGCTGCCTACAAATGAGGAAGGTTGGGTAGAACTGAAGGTACACTTCACATTTTTCTCTTCTTTTTTTGAAGAGCTTGACGACATTTGATTGCTACAACTACGTCTTACGATTCACATACATTCTGATACGGGTCTTTCTGAATTATAGGACCAATTAGAAGACGAGCAGGAGGAACTCACGAGGAACATTGGCAAACTTGAGAGACAAGCTACCAATATTTCCGAGCAAATCCGAATCGAGGCGCAGGTATATCTCACAACAAGGAAAAATTTCTATCCTAGTGTGTACCATCGCGCGTTGATCTACGTCTTTTACTTACAGGAATTGCTACGTTTGTTCGGCATCCCTTACGTGGTGGCTCCTATGGAAGCGGAGGCGCAGTGCGCGTACCTGGAGCAAATCAAGCTAACCGACGGCACGATTACAGACGACTCCGACATTTGGCTATTTGGGGGCCGATGTGTGTACAAAAACTTCTTCAACAATAGCAAGAGGGTACAGCAGTTCCGTGCGTGTGACATCCAGCATCATTTTAGTACGTGTAATTAAATTTATTCTAACGTTGATCTTTTTAATGGGCTTCTTATTATACTTATCAATATAAATTTTCCTTTGTAATTTACCTTTATAACAAAATCTTTATAAATTATAAATTAAAACAATTACCGTAATAAATCTTTTTAAACATATAAAATTATTAAAGACAACATGTAAAATTTTAAGACCAAAATGAAATCTCAAAACCACATATATACATATATACAGGGTGACCTAAAACACCAATGATTTTGAAATTTCCAAAGATCATCAGGTTAAACAAAAGTTAGGGCACTATTGTGACAGCATATATTCTTGGAACCAAATAGAGCAAAAAAGTCTAGTGCTATTTTTTTTTCCAACAAATAGTTAGCGAGATATAGTAAGTCAAAATTTAAATAATAATAGTAATAAGCTAAATATTGAAAAAATTACCAAGTTTTCCTTAAATCTAAAAAAATATTAGGCAAATGAAAAAATGTTTCAAACAAAAGTTGTCCAAATTAATTGGTAGAAAAAGGTGATATAAAAAAATGGGAGTTTCCTTTAAAAAAATTTTAAGTGACCTTCCCGTAACCTTGATAATGCTGTTCAAGGTCATACTAGTATTGCTATGTGATGCATCACTTGAAACCTTACCATTTCTGTATTTAACATTTTCCATTTTGCATATATTCAAAGTTATTTAGGTGGTCTGTGTTATTTAGGTGCCTCAGCCTGTATATAATGTCATCATTACAGAACTTACTCGCAATCAGCTGATACAATTAGCCCTCCTGGTCGGCAGTGATTACACTACGGGGGTGGCTGGAATCGGGCCAGTGACCGCATTGGAGATATTAGCCGCGTTTCCCGCCGAAGGGGATAACGTACTGCACGGGTTACACAACTTCTGCACGTGGATAAAAAAGGGAAAGATCGCGGCTCCTGGGAAAACGGGTTTGCGCAATAAATTGCGAAACGTGAAATTGGACAAAGGTGAGCGCGATGGTCATGTCTAACGCCGACCGATAAGAGCGAACAATGACGGCACAAATGATAGCGTAACGTGACCGATTTCAGATTTCCCAAGTCAAGCGGTCGTCCAAGCGTATCTCTTTCCCACGATTGACGAGTCAAAGGAGACTTTTACCTGGGGCAAGCCGAACGCAGTGCTCCTCTGCGACTACACCAGGCAGAAATTCGGCTGGACGAAGGGCAAATTCGACGACACGATGATACCGGTACTGAGGAGAATGGAGGAGAGGAAAAGTCAGAAAATATTGGATTTATACTTCAAATTGATGGTGTCCCCAAAATCCGTCGAACCGAGTCTGAGTAAAAGAGTTCAGAAGGCTCTGTACAAGATGAATAACGAGAGCAATGTGATTGAAGAAAATACGGATGGCGAAACGCAGGCTAAGAAAAGCAAGAAGAGCAATGCCGATCAGAAGATGAAGAAAGAGAAGATAATTAAACCCAGTATAGCCACTCATGAGCCTGAAGCACTCGTCGAAGTAGACGCTGCTCTCAAGAGACCTATTGTACCTAATGTTCACGATAGAAGCGTCAAGGAATATATTCCGCAGCGGGAGAGAGACAAAGCATCCTCACTGGAGAAGAAATTGCACGCTATAGAGGTGTTTAGAAAATCGAGGAAAGGCTTGGTCAAAACGAAGAAAGTAAAACGCACGGTACGGAAAGTCAAGAAAGAAGCGGAGTTATCGGAAAGCGACAGCAACTAGATCAAAATAACTAAAGCCTGCGGCAACAAATTTTGCATAGTGTCTGCTGGACGAAATACAATGGAATCTGTGAATAAAGCATGACGGTAGAAACCGAGCAGGATCTGTCATCCGGTAACTATTTAAATGCGCTTAAATAAGACGTGGCTCAGATCCTGCTCAGTTTTGATCGTCAATCTACTGTCGATCTATTGCCAGACTGATGGCACATTGCTAGCAGTTTGTCTAGGGAAAGTATTCAACTGTAAAAAATGTACATTTTCATATCATAAGTAAAACAATTTGTACATAAAAAACATAAAATAGCGTGCGAAACTTTTATATACAATCGAAAAGTGATGTCTAGTTTCTATTGTGACTATTATAGAATATAATTATAGAATATTATTATAGAATATAAAATATTTTTCTATCAACCATTGTGTAATATCATCCTTTGCTTTTCTTCATAAGAAATTAATAATATGAGACCTATATTGGTTTGGAGACTTTTGAAATGCTGCTTTTGTCTTAATTTTGTCTGGTTCTTATCTGTTTCCAATTATAGAAATAAATGTTCCTCAATTATAGATATATAGTATTTTTTCCTAATAAAGTTTTTGAAATAAAATTTTATATTTCTACGATTTCAATTACCGTTCTTTTTTTGTTGTTGTTTAATGTTGATAATATCTCATTGTGTGCAATTTATTTGTTAAACTTTACCGTAAATATGATCAAAATTCACAAAATTTATGATACAATCAATCGATATAAAATTATTATATGTATATACACACAAGATGTTTGAAAAAGGTAAAATTATATTGGGTTGTTCGGAAAATAATTTCAGTTTTTTGCATGAAAATGAAAGACGATATTTTTAATAGGAAGAAAAGTTTTATTCTGTTAAGTATTGATTATTTTGTTCTGACATCTTTTGCCATCTTTGAGATAATAACACATGATTCCATGCTTGTAGAACTTCTGGTTATTATTGGCAAAAAATTGAATCAAGTGGTTTTTGACACCTTTATTTGAATCGAAATTTTTTCCATCTAAAGAATTTTGCAGTGACCGAAACAAGTGATAAACTTCTGAAAAAGAATAATTTGAGTTTGAGATTTCCAAAAATAACACAATATGTGTTGCACGTGTACCCGATGTCTTTTTTTACCTTTTTGTTTAAAATTTGATGGGAAACAGAAACAACTTGACAGATTCCAAACCAACTTGTTTTCAAGTGAAGCTTGAAATGTGTATTGTAAAAATGTAAAATGATCTTCTGGTTTAGAATGAGGCTAACTGCTTCAAAAGGCAACTAACCCTGTCTATTTGGAAAAACCGAAATTATTTTCCGAACAACCCAATATTATTAATCCGTTGGTAACGATAGATAAAAAAACTTGCGACTTTAGTTTCCTCTCCAGATTTTAAATTAGCCAGTAGCCTGTTGGCGCCATCTAAGTCGGAAGCATCGAGACTACAGTCGATCCCTCAACAAAAAGAAGAGCGGTCGAGCATCGATTCTTCGAGCGTCGACCAGCGGACGTCCTCATTGGTGGTGTGAGGATTCGTGCCGGGAATATCGGAGAGTGTCCGAGGCGGATCAAAACAAGCGATGCTCGAGCCGAGCAAGCGCTCGCTCTCCTCCGTTGGCTGCCGCTTCGCCGAGAAGGAACGCCAGGAAGAAACGTGTGAGTCGTCGCCACCGCCGTTCTGCGGCCGTTTGTTCCAGGAGGCTAGCCGTAACGCGTCGTAACGCGACCCACCGCGGCGTCTCCTTCACCTCCTCCGCCCCCTCTTTCTTCGGCCAGGCGGGATTTCAACCCGAGGAAACAATGTAGGCTACCCGCCGCGGCACCCCTGTCGTCCCTCGATCGCGCCGTCGGGGATGTCGGCACGGCCGCTTGTGGCTGTCATCGTCGACGACTACGAGCAGCGCAGTCACACAGACATAGCGAGCGTGAACACCCGTGGGAGATGTCTTACAGCGATGGCGCGCGCCCAACACGAAAATTCGGCACGAAGTCGCCGAAGAAGCTGTGCGTGACCAAGAGCGAGAACGGCGACAAGATCACGACGACGGTCAACTGCGGCGGCCATCATCACCACAATCACTTTCATCACAACCACCACCGCTTCCTGGACGGCTCGCAACCGTCGGTGCACAAGCGCAATCTATACATCGTTTCTTTCCCATTGATATTGCTGTTCAACGTGCTGAGGACTCTGTTATATCAGCTGTTTGTGGTATTCAGGTATCTGTATACCTCTACGTCTCATCTGATCCAGCGCAGACAGGCGTCCAAGCAGGCCTGTCAGCTGGAGATTGTTGTCGGTCAGAAAACAGCGGATGGTCTGTCCAATCGTTTGATCAACGGCAATCAGGTAGAGGGAGAAAACATGTCTCAGGTATCCAGGCGCTCCATTGGACCGGGTCCAGCGGATCCTTTGCTGGCCAAGCAGAAGCATCATCATCGCAGAGCTTTTGAGTTTATCAGCAAGGCACTGAAGATTGACGAGGATAATGAAGGTATGCTGTTTATATGTAGATTGCACAAATGTGTGCAATTGCCGCAAGATATGCTAATTTAGTACTTTTAACAACTTTCTCTTCTGTACTTTTTTCTGATTGCTTCTGCATCTCCTGCAACAGGGCAGAAGGAAATGGCTATTGAATTGTATAAGAAAGGAATCGGGGAACTGGAGAAAGGCATAGCCATAGAATGCAACGGTGGACATGGTGAAATATGGGAGCACGCTCAGAGACTTCACGACAAGATGCGTACGAATTTAATAATGGCGAAAGAAAGGCTCGAGTATCTTGGTGAGTGTGTCCGCTGCTGCGCCCGCTCAACGCATAAAGTTTCTCGAGCTATTTCAAGCTTATTTACCTGCGGTATAAGTCTTTATCGCTCATAAATACGATGATCTCTGGTAGTTTCTACATTATATATATGTATCTTTAAGAAAATCTAATGGTCGAGCCTCTCTGTGATTAATAATTGAGAATAGTAAATGAAGCAGAAGGGCCTTCGAGAGAAATGTAATATAAATGTACGCATTTTTAACGCATATGCAGGTAAATATCTGGCAGTAGCGACAGAAGGAGCATCGATGTATCTAGCATGCCCGTGTGTAAAGTTCTTCATCTTTCCAAGTATACACACGCGTGCGTGCGCGTGTACATATGTGTGTACGCATGCCCGCGTTATAATTTCCTAGATGGTTTACCTTGAGCACAAGTCAATTTATGTTCTGCATTTCGTTCCTTTCTTTATTATACGGTAATCCGGAGGCGCTCGGAATAGCGCGAGTTGCGTACAGTGCGTGAGAGTTAGCAGCCCAGTCTCATACGCAGCATAATACACCGGTAGCGATCGAGGCGTGCATTTTGCGATCCGACTAAAGACGAAAGTACTTTCTTAGCGACATTAGTACGTTTAGTACGTTCTCTCTCTCTCTTTCTCTCTCTCTCTCTCTCTCTCTCTCTCTCTCTCTCGTACGCCGGTAACAATACGGCAGATTAGCCTGATTTTCTCTTTTAGCTGACTTAGCCTACTGCAGCATGGCAGAGAATGTTTTTTCCTTTTTGTAGTGAGTGTGTGTGAGCTGAGAAAGCTGGGTATCAACAATGAATATCGCGCGCCTGGAAATAAAACGGACGACGAACATCCAGGAAAGCATCTGAGGGCTCGCCGCAATATACACACTTTTCAAACCTCGACACGAGCCGGCACACCCAATACCAATCACAATAAGAACACAAACAATAGTACACATACAGTTAACACCGGGCAGACTATATGTACGCAAATTCCCAAGTTAAGGCCACGTTCTCCAAAAAACTGTTGCGCTCACGCCGCCGAAGGTATTGTTCGTCTGAGGTTCTGGGCTTAAATGCAAAAGAGTCGAAGTAACGCAAGTAAAACAAGATGCAATGCTCCTTTTAGTCCTTACCTTGTCTTGGAGGAGATACTTTGTTTTATCTTAGCCCTATGCACATCACTCGGTTTCTCATGTAGATGACTAGGTAGATTAACGTAGACTCCTGCCAAAGTGTTTTGTTGTAGCCGCTTCTTTGCGCGCGTTGCCGTAGACCTGTAGAAGCTGATGCATCTCTATACAAGTAGATCTTAAGTAGAGCTTTACAAGTAGACTTAAGGAAGGGAGCGAGACACATAATTCTTAGAGTAGTTAGTAAAGTTGAACAAGCGTTTATATGCAAACACACTCGCAGCCGTATTCGATGTACTTGCGATTTTACCACAACGGTGCAAACAGTCTCTCTTAAGGGGATGCCGTACTTGAAGACTTTACCGACTTTTTTCTGCAAATTTTACGTCCTATTGATTGAACAGGACAAGTGCCTACAGTGATAAGTGATTACAAGTAATTCCGTGCAACGGAGGTGCATTAATTCTACTAACTGCAATGAAAGTACGTGTAAAAATAATTTGCAGCATTGTGTAACATGTGACGGGAGCGACAAAAGATTTCAAAATTGACATCTCGAGCTGTCAGCGTAAGGATTTGCTTGATACAAAAACTCTGCAGCTTGCGCATATCAAAGGAAGTAGAACTTCCAGGAAAGTTTCTGTAAAGATATATAGGAAAAGTTTGCAGAGAAAGATTTCTGTGTATACGTAGTTTGTGTGTTTTCCGCTAAACATGGTAAGACAGCATCACACATTTATCTGTACACATACAAGAAATACGTTTTGACGATTTAACGCCGTCAACGCCGTTTTCTAAGCTTGTTGTCCACTTTGGCATTCCCTCGGTGCATGAGTTTGTACACACGAGAAAGAAATTGTTCCACTTTTGATAGAGTAGAAGATACTCCCTCAACAAGATCCATTCTATCGTAATAAGAAAAGATTTCGACTAAATGCATCAGTGACATTTTACAATTTATCACTACTATTTAACAGCAACACTATCTACGACATACAAACACAACAGTGTTTTAAATATCTTGGCTGTGTAACCATCTCCTTACTTTCGTCTTCTTTGCGATAGACCCTCTTACCCACTAGACTGACCCACAAAAGAGACTTGCATCTAACAGTATCTATCAGTAGACATTTGTACACTCCGGCCGAGTCGCACGACGCGCCACGTGAGCTCCGTTGAAGTACGAATGTTGCGTTTCAGCATCCGGCAGAAAGCTGTCGGTGCCTGGCAAGCGGCCGACGGGGACTCCCTTGAGCAAGAGCCAGACATTGCCTCGAAACATGGGCAGATCAGCGCCTATCCAGCCTTGCCATAGGACCATGCCGATTAAACCGTCCTCAACGCCACCCTCCGTGAAGCGACAGCTATCCGTGCCTGGGAATGGCTCGCCTATAAGACGCCCGGGAACACCCACTACCTCAAGCAGTAACAGGAGTACACCGACCAGGAAGGTACCCATTCTGAAGGGAGTGGACCCGAAGCTCGCGCAACTGATTCTCGACGAGATCCTGGAAGGCGGTGCGCCGGTGCAGTGGGAAGACATCGCTGGTCAAGAGGTACGCCGTCTTACTCATCCAGTGCCGTTCAGTCATCTCCGATTGATTCGCTGTTAATTGTTTCAGTACGACAAGTGTTGTCAGGTAGAGCTAGCCAGCCGCTGAGAGCGATAGTCGCGAGAACGCTTATATGTGTTTCTCTTCTGATGAAACAATTATACAGGGTGCTCCATGTGAGGCTTCAGAATTAGATCATTAGAAAATTTTAAGAGTTTTGTTTGACGTCTAAAAAGTGAACGACCAAATTTGTGACAATTGCACTTATTTTGTCTGATAAATCAGCGGACCCTAATGCGGGTCCATATTTATCCCAAACATATGTTCTTACTCTAAACTTTATATGCTATTGGTTATAACAAATCTCGAATAAGATTAAAAGCTTTAGTAAATGCTGGGACATGATAGTTATAATCGCACTACTGATGCCAGTTCGAATTCTAAATTGTTTACTTTTTTAGATCTGTTATTATTTGACTTCTTCAAAACTAAGCTATCAATGAAAAGACTAGACTGGATTGTCGTGTCACCAGACAGTATTTCAGTCATTTCTGTGAGGATATAAATAAATCAAGATTTATTTATAAGTTAGAGAAAACATAGCAGAATTAAGACCTCACATATTTAAATTTTCGTTTAAGGTTAGTTTTCTTATGAGGGTTGCCTTGTATGTTGATTTGTAAAAATTATTGGCAAAAAATGGAGAATTATTTTGAGGTGTAAATCAGTCTATCAGTAATAAGGTAAAGACGAGTGAGCGGCCGTCGACTGTAGCCGACGCTCACATCAACAGAATTATTGTTGTCCGAAAAGTAATTTCGGCTTTTTGCATGAAAATGAAAGACGATATTTTTAATAGAAAAAAAGTTTTATTCCGTCAAGTATATTGACCATCTTTGTTCTAACACCTTTTGCTATCTTTGAGGTGATAACATGATTCCACGCTCGTAGAACTTCTAGTTCTTACTGGCAAAAACTGAATCAATTGGTTTACGACACCTTCATTTGAATCGAAATTTTTACTATCCAAGAAATTTTGCAGTGACCGAAACAAGTGATAATCGGATGGTGATAGATCAGGTGAATATGGTGGATGCGGTAGCAAATCCTATCCAAGCGCTAGCAGTTTCTGGCGAGTCATTAAACTTTTGTGAAGTCTGGCGTTATCTTGATGAAACACAACACCTTCTCTCTTCACCAATTCTGGTCTCTTCTGTTTGATGGTATCATTCAATTTGTCCAATTGATGACAATACACATTCGAATCAATCGTTTGGTTGTTTGGTAACAACTCAAAAAACCATTCCTTTCCAATCTCACCAAACAAAGAACATCACTTTTTGATGGATATCAGCTTTTGATGTGCTTTGAACTGGTTCATCACGTCTGCTCCATGATCTTTTGCATTTAATGTTATTGTACACAATCCATTTTTCATCTCCAGTTATGAATCGCTTCAGAAATGGATCGCTTTCATCACGTTTCAAATCGCAGATGGTAATGCGACGAATCAAATCTCTTTGAGAATGTGTGGAACCCAAATATCGAGCTTTGAAACGAAACCAAGTTGTTTCAAATGCTTATGCACGGTCGAATTCGATAAATTCAATCTCTCAGCAATTTGTCGTGTTGTTAAATGACGATTTGCGTCCACCAATGTTTTTATTTGGTCTTCATCAGCCTCAATTGGCCTTTCAGAACGTGGTGCATCTTTGAGGTCGAAATTTCGAAAACCAATTCTGACACTGGTATTCAGTCAACACATCTTCTCCATACATGGTACACAATTTTTTTCTTGCTTGCGCTGCATTTTTGCCTTTACAGTAATAAAAGAGCAAAATGTGACAAAAATGCTCACGTTAGTTTTCCATTGATGCGACGCCAAATAAAAACAACTTGACAGATTCCAAGACAACTCTCTTTCAAATGAAACTTGAAATGTACATTGTAAAAATGTAAAGTGATTTTCTGTTTTAGAATAAGGTTACTTAAAGGTTACTTAAAAAGGCAACTAAGACCATCTATTTGAAAAAAATCGAAATTACTTTCCGAACAATCCAGATAATTTCGATTCAGATCAAAAAGGAAGTTCATATTCTATCAATTACTCGCTGGCTTGCAGACTGCGAAGCAAGCCTTGCAGGAGATGGTGATTTTGCCGTCACTCCGGCCCGAACTGTTCACCGGCCTGCGAGCACCTGCGAGGGGATTGTTACTGTTCGGCCCACCGGGAAATGGAAAGACACTGTTGGCGCGCGCCGTTGCGACTCAGTGCAACGCGACGTTCTTCTCCATCTCCGCCGCTAGCCTCACGTCCAAGTACGTCGGGGAAGGTGAAAAATTGGTGAGAGCTCTGTTCGCGATCGCACGGGAGTTGCAGCCGTCTGTTATTTTCATCGATGAGGTGGACTCGCTGTTGAGCGAAAGGAAAGACAACGAGCACGAAGCTTCAAGGTATGGTTTAGAGAGTAAATTGCGTTTACTTGTACAGGATGTTGCGTTTTGTCAAGAAGATCTCCTTCGAACTGATTTAAAAGCTTGTACTACTTCCCTTTTTTTTTTACAAGTCACAGATATATGTCTGTTTCTTTTTAAATTTCAAAAGTGTGTACTAGGAACAATTGAGCTAGGAAGAACAAATCTCTAAATCGATCCTTCAAAGTAAAAAAGGAAAAAGTATTTATTTTCGAGTCTCTTTTCCTCGATTTCCCGTTGAGGAATTTTTGAGGGGAAATTTCTAGAAATTTTCTTACGGTAAGAATATGTATTTTGACTCCAGATTAGAAAAGAAGGCGGAAAAGTAAGACTTGTCCTTGAGGTTTCTTTGCAATCTACTAAAGATTACAGATTAGTGAAGTCAAATCCCTTTAAAACTAGCGAGAAGACTCCCAAAAACTCCCCAAGGAAGATAAGAAAGACTCGAGAATATTCTCTTTTAACTCTAAGGAGGCCATTTATGGAATCGAGCAGGTGCCATTTGTTTTTGTCAATTTCAAATCAGTTCGGACGAAATGCTGAGAAGAAGGCACTTCTAAATATTCTGCGCACACAATTAATTATTTCAGGCGACTGAAAACGGAATTCCTAGTCGAGTTCGACGGCTTGCCGTGCAATCCCGAGGAAAGGGTGCTCGTCATGGCTGCTACTAACAGACCGCAAGAACTGGACGAGGCTGCGCTGAGGCGATTCACGAAACGCGTGTACGTCACTCTACCGGACCTGCAAACGAGGATCGTATTGCTCCAGAGGCTCCTGGCCAAGCACAACGATCCGCTGACGGCCGAGGAGTTGAACGAGATGGCAGTCATGACTGAGGGATACTCCGGAAGCGATTTGACTGCATTGGCTAAGGATGCAGCACTTGGGCCTATCAGAGGTAATAACACCGAATCGACCCTTGATGAGCTTCTTTCCGTGTATTCGCTTTTAGATTTGCCTTATGAGTGAGAATGTGCGTTTGGTCACTCATTTTCTTCAACGTGCCTTACAGTGGCGAGAGGTATAAAGGAGCATTCTATCATGCTAGATCGCGCGTCTACAGGTCTTGTTCATAGTACGTTTTTACCACACAAAATGTGTTTATCGTATTATTTCCTCAGAACTGAATCCAGATCAGGTGAAAGAATTGGACCTCAATTCCGTTCGTAATATCACGATGCAAGACTTCCATGATTCCCTAAAGAGAATTCGCAGATCCGTCTCGCCGGCTAGTTTAGCTGCCTATGAGAAATGGAGCTTCGAGTACGGGGATGTCAGTCTTTGATCTCGAATAAGCCGCTCGTACGAGAGGCTGCAGCAGCTGCAGCCGCGTTTTATTTGAATGTGATCCGTCGATACTCCGCCGAACGTTAACGCAACTTTGCATTTTTATTCTTATAAATGATGTATTTGTGCTTGATAAGAAATGGCGATGAAAACGGAACAGAGAAAGAGAAGAGCGAGAGAAGAGCTATGTTCTCCGATTTCTAACTGTGAGAATCCCGACTCGCGCATTCTCGTGGCATATTACGAGCCTTCGACAGCTCTGATTCTCATTTCAACACATTACTTTGCACCGGAGCGACCTTCGCGACGAATAGCATAACTAGATTCTCAAGCAATAATACTTAATGTCGAGTGTATTTTCGGATTACAGTTCGCACATTGATTTTACCAGATATATAATACTCCACGCTCCATCCAAGTGATCGAGTACATTCGCATTCGCAGTTCAACGCGTAGCTTTAAACTGTTAGGATTGAGACGCTTTACCACCGTATTGTTTATATATTTATTATTCTCCTACGATTCTCAGTTCCTTTTCCACATACGATAGCTAGTGTTCGCGAGATTCACGACGTATGCTCGCATATTACGATAAGTTGCACTTAGTGTCGGAATGTTAGTTATGTGTTAACAGTTGATGTTAAGTATTTGCAAAACGATAAAAATACCTTACCGCCTTAGATTGAGATTCAGAAGGCTACTCGAGCACGCACACACATACACACACACACACACACTCCGCGGTCATGGAGAATGCGTCATCATACAATTCGACTATTGTTATTTATCAAGTTGACACGAACGAGAGTTAATAACAATATCGTAAGGCACGACCCGTGACACATTATTATCGCAACGGTAGAAAGACTGCATTCGCAAACGAAACATCGCACGTCCAATCAGATAATAAAATAAAAAAGAAAAAGTAATCGATGACGAGTAGACGTCGAAGAGAGACGTTATAGTTATTTATTCGGTGTACACAGCGAGAAGGGAGACGCACCGTGAACGTCGTAGGGCGGCGTGTTGAAATTTGCACGTTAGGAGATGCGCGCGGTCGCAGAGGCGAACGGCCGCTGTCGTTACGCGTCAATTCTTGTATAGATCACACTGATAGATGTACTTCTTAAAGTGTTGCGAATGTTAATCTTGTTACGTTTGATACCGATTCAGAGATTCGTTTGACGTTTGTTGATATACCGATGCGTTTAAGGAACCACACGGCAACCATGATGCACGCTTGTGCAGGAGGAGAAAGGAACAGAAAACGAGGGGGAGAGAAGAAAAGGAATAAACGAAAGGGGAAATATGAGATTCTGTTTTGATACAAAATTCTATAAGAACACAACGAACTGAGAGAATATAATCTGTGCTATATGGAATCCTAAGTATCTACCTGTAAGCATTATTTATATAAGCTCGGATCGACATTGTTATACACAAGAGATGGAAGAAATCTTTATATGTATATGTGTATATGTGCATATATATACATGGTGAGGCACCTCATACAGGCCACTCGTGAATAATTTTGAAAATTTGCAAGATAGAAAAAATGTTAAACACAAAAGTTGTAAGGTTTCAAGTGACGCATCATGCAACAATATTAGAATAACCTTGAACAGCATCATCAAATTTACGGAAAAGTCACCTTAAATTTGTTTGAATGGAAACTCCCATTTTTTATCATATCATATTTTTCCACCGATTAATTTGAACAATTTTAGTCTGGAACATTTTTTTATTTGCCTAATATTTTTTTAGATATTTAAGGAAAACTTGGTTTCTCAATATTTAATTTACGACATCTCGATGACCATTTGTCGGAAGAAAAAGCGATATTAGACTTTTTTTTATTCTATTTGGCCTCAAGAATATGCTGTCACAATAACCCAGTTTTTGTTAACTTGATGACATTTGGAAATTTCAAAATCATCAAGTACCTATTGCAACAGCATACTCGTGAGAACAAAAAGGTCTAATATGACTTTTTCTTCCAACAAATAGTTACCAAGGTAAGCTCAATATCGTAAGCTCAATATTGAAAAAGTTACCAAGTTTTTCTTAAACATCTAAGAAATACTGGACAAATAAAAAAATGTTTCAGACAAGAGTTGTTCAAATTAATTGATAGAAGAATAAGAAATGAAGGTTCCCAAAAAGATTCAAGATGACCTTCCCGTAATCTTGATGACACTGTTCAAGGTCGTATTACTATTACTTAGAGCCCTACAACTTTTAACATTCTTTCTACCTTGCATATTTTTAAAGTTATCTAGGCGGCCTGTTTTAGCTGCCTTATCCTGTGTTTATATATATATACACACACACACACACACATACATATACGTATAACAAGAGAGAAAGAGAGAGAGAGAGAGAGAGAGAGAGAGAGAGAGAGAGAGAGAGAGAGAGAGAGAAAACACATTTTTATGACATTTGTCTATATTGCTTCCAATGCTCAACAAGTAGGATAATTATGCTTATACAATGTACTTATCGAATTAATGTTTTAACACGGGACTATTTAGATTATATAGATGAATACGCTGCGATTGCAGCGTATTGTGACACAAATCCGTTCGCGATTTGCTCCAAAGTATCACGCAAGATAGGATAACATCGTTGCAGTCTTGTAGAGAATAAGGTCTGCCGCAAGAATCATTGAAAATGATTATTTTCTGGGCGTTTCGTATCCTCAGTGAGAGTTTTACGCATTTAAACGCTTCCTGCGTGCAACGGGAGTAGAAGGAGAAACGCTGTTTACATATGAAAGCTGTAGTTATTAAGTAACAGCTCTGTGTATATGAGTAGAGTATATATGTAGAGAGACAGCAGACACACATGTACGATGCATTTTCACCAAGTAGGCATTTCACGCGATATAAACGGTAAACGTAAAAAAAAAAAAAAAGCGTGCTTGCTTTTGTAACATTTCGAGATCGACATCGTTGTCATTATGAGTAAATTACGCAATGCTAAACAGCATTTTATAAGAGCTGTGATGTTATCGCGACGACGAATTTGAGTATCTTGCACGTTCAGCTTCCATTTGCGACACTGAAAACTTTAAGTAAGAGTGCACAAAAAAAAAAGTACGATATACACAGATATTGTATCATAAATCGTGACTCTCTGGGTCTTTCTAGGTATTGCGACTTTGTTCAACGTGCGGCTTTGTTGATAATTTTCCTTTTCAAGTGATACACAATGCTGTGACATGAGGTCGATTTGTTTCCTCTCGAATTAGCAAATCGTGATGTTGAGCCAAGAGAGAAACTTTAGTTCGAAATTACTTTGTAATGTAAGTTCTGTTGAGTAATGATCTTCGCCTGAGTAATGATCACTGCCTGTGTTATTATGTAATCGTATTGCGTGATGTTACGTATATTTATATGCACGGTTCAAATTATGTATTATACATTAATTACGACTGCATTCCGAGATGCCGATATGTGCTGGCGATCTTGAAAATCTGCAGTTTTCGTTACGCGCACCATGGATCTTCGGGATGGATACTGCAGTAAACAGTACATACTTCAGTATATACAGAGTGTATAAAAAGTACCGGGACGGCGAAATATCTTACAAATCGTGACTCGTGAAGACTAAGCATTTGAAAAGAAAAAATTTCAGACAAAATTGTGTGATTTCAAGGGGGACATGAAACAACTATATCATTTTGTTTACAGATGGCGCCACTTTCGAACTATTCACTGGTCATTACTTTTCTTTGATGGAAATCCTCAGTTTTTGTTACATCATCTTTTTCTACCAATTAATTTTAATCCCTAACAAAAATTTACTGCTGGCTGTAATAAATTGGCTAATGATAATAAGTAATTTAATGATAATTTAATGATTAATTTAATGATAATAAGTAATTATTCATAGTGAGTAATAAAATGAGTAATGAAATTACTTATTATCACATACCAATTTATTATAGTCAGTAATAAATTTCTATAAGAGACAACTTTCATTTGAAACATTTTATTTGCTTAATATTTTTTGAGATATTTAAGGATAACTTGGTAACTTTGTCGATATTTAACTTATGATATCTCTCTATTTGTCGGCAAAAAAATAGCACTAGACTTTTTTTACTCTATTTGGTCTCAAGAATATATTGTTACGATAGCGCCCTGACTTTTGTCAATTTGATGATTTTGAAATTACCAAAAGTCAAGTTAACAAAAGTTTTAGGGCACTATTGTAACAATTCTTGAGATTAGAAATAGAGTAAAAAAGAGTCTAGTACTATTTTTTTTTCTGACAAATTGTTAGCGAAATATCGTAAGTTAAGTATTGAAAAAGTATTGAAAAAGTTTTCCTTAGATATTTCAAAAAATATTAGGCAAATAAAAAAATGTTTCAGACAAAAGTTGTTCAAATTGATTGGTAGAAAAAGATGATGTAATAAAAAATTGGAGCTTCCGTTTAAGAAAAGTGATGATCAATGAATATCTCGAGAGTGGCGCCATCTGTAAACAAAATGATATATTTGTTTCATGTTTCCCTTGAAACCATGTAACTTTTGTTTGAAATGTTTTTTTCTAAAATGTTTAGTTTTCGAGATATTTCGCCGGTACTTTTTATACACCCGGTATATTACAATATACGCTACAGTATATATACTACGGAACTGTCGACATACATCTCGGAATGTAGCTTCGTATATTAAAACTCGAGAGAGAGGTTTAAGACGATTTTTTTGCACAAATCGCTTCGCATACGTGAGGACGGATGATTTGGAGACCCTGGCCTTCCACTGTGAAACATGCTGAGCCTTGATTAAGTTATTTTGCTACTTTTATAACGTACAATACGGTAAATTGAGTAAGGATAACGAACGTGGGTGTATAATATTTACGCTAATGATAATTAACGCCATTTAATCTAACGGTAAGCGCAAGCCGACGAGCCGCGAGTCCGCGAGAACCGTTTCCGCACGTTCGCGGGGAGGTTGCCCCCCCCCCTTTCTTGAGAATGTTACATCGTCATCAGTAGTCACACCCTCAATTATATTTGTCGTTGTCAGTGTCTGTTACTTGACGATTCCGAAGGTTCGCGATGTTGCGTTTTCTTGCGACAGGTCCGGGTGAAGTTGTTCGATTCGCGGAAACTTATAGTTTGTAGCGAGAGCGATCGGACACCCCATTGATTGCGTAGCGTGTTCGCCCCCCCCCCCCTGCGGATTTTGATCAGCCCGTAGCGCGTTCGGTAGGGAGAAGAGTACGACCCGTATATCCAGCAGTATTATAGAATATTTCCGGTAGGCTGTAGGTTTGTGTAAATTACATCGCCGTAAATTACGAAGCAAACCGAGAGCGACGCGCCGCGCCGTTGGTGAGTTCGTGAATTATCGGTGAGCGAAGAATAGTCAAGGTCGAGCGTGCGACGCTCGCCGTCAAACGTTAGCGCGAATTAGCGGGACACGTCGGGTCTGTCCCCGTTAGTGTTCTCGTTAGCGCTATTTGCCTCCCGAATTATCCGCGTTTACGAGCTCGTGCGAACCGTGCGGCGGCGTGTGTATTCCTTATACCACACACACATACACACACACACACACACACACACACACAAACAAATTTAGCCCACACGTCCACAGCAGAATATTCGCGGGATAGACGCTCGTCGGGCGGATCGGACGATAGGCCCTTTTAATGTAACGCGTACAGCGATTGTACAGAATTGTAAAGCACTCTGTCGATATTTTGTCAGCGTGACAGCGGTGTGGTTGAATCGAAGAACGCGACGATGAGGAGACGTGCGTGTATAGTACAAATATTACACTCCGTTACGCTTCCCCTCCCGCTGAGGGGAGGTCGAGATCTTTTTCTAAGGAACTATTCATTTTTCGTTGATTCGTCGAGGAAAACGCGTTTCTTCGTTGTACAAACATATCCGATCCCAGCGCGAGAAGAAGGAGTAGCGTTTCTAGTTCTGCGTTCTCAGACTTCGTTCGATAAGCCAGTATCGTCGCGCGCGCGAATATCAACAAACAGTCTCGTAGGTTTTGGCTAATTAGAAGGTACGAGTGTTAGATTCCTTCGCGTGTGGATCATCGCGTAAGTGTTGACATGTCCGCAAGTGATGATTCTTCTCAAGAATGTCTTTCCGATCCTGTAAGAGTGTATTGGGTGTAAAATAAAATCGTATTACATGCATCGCTGCTTATTTTCATGCCCCCGAGCGCCGGCGAGGAGAGACCGCGCGAGTCCTCAAATCCTCAAAGTGAATGTCTCAATCAATGAGCAAGTAGCCTAATCGTGAGAATAAATTAATAAATTAGAAATATATTAGTGTCAAGCGCAAACCCTTACGCCAATTTATTAACAGCTATAAATTTCTGTAAAGGTTTGACACGAGTGTATCTTTAATTTATTAATTTATTATAATAAAGTAATAATAATTTATTATAATAAATAAGTGATAAATTGGCCAGTAATAATAAGTAATTTTATTACTCGTATAAATAATAAAATGACTTATCACTAGCCAATTTATTACAGTTAGTGATAAATTTATGAGTAATAAAATTACTTATAATACGGTCAATAATAAATTTCTATAAATATTTGTACTTGGCACAAGTATATTTTTAATTTATTAATTTATAATAAATTAACTTTTTTATAATAAATTAAATTTATGAGTAACAAAATTACTTGTACGAGTAATAACTACTTATTACTAATGGTTAATTTATTACAGTCAGTAATAAATTTCTGTAAGGATTTGTGCTTGGCACGAGTGTATTTTTAATTTATTAATTTATTATAATAAATAAGTGATAAATTGGCCAGTAATAATAAGTAATTTTATTACTCATAGGACTCATTGGGTAATTTATTACATCCGGTAATAAATTATAAGTAATAAAGTTACTCGTAACACAGTCAGTAATAAATTTCTGTAAGTGTTTGCACTTAGCACGAATATATTTCTAATTAATTTATTATATTAAATTAATAATTTTTTATAATAAATAATTAAATTTGAGTAATAAATTATGAGTAATAAAATTATACGGGTACGAGTAATAACATTATTTATTATAGCCAATTTATTACAGCTAGAAATAAATTTCTGTAAGGATTAGCGCTTGGCACAAGTATTTTTAATTTATTAATTTATTATAATAAATTAATAATAATTCATTATAAGTAATAAATTGGCTAGTGATAAATAATTTTATTACTCATACGAGTAATAAAATTGTTTATTATCATTGGCCAATTTATTAGAGTAATAAATTTCTGTTAGGAAAATGCAAAGCTGATTTTATTTGTAAGCATTGCAAAGGTCGTTTGGTATTTCAATTGCGTCGTTCTTCTAATTTACGAAAAAATTTTATATATCTTAAACATGTATATTTTCTTTTCAGGAATGATGGAAGTACCGTTTAGTGACAATTTAGTTTTTATTTTTTAATCATGAGATTATTGAATGAAACTATAAATTTGGTGAGAAGCCCAATTCTGAAGTTGAAAAACAGCTGCACAGATTTTCAACAAGTGGCTGACATCAGCCGTCAGTTTCCAGTATCTTCTACAATGATTAACTCTACTCGAAATTTCTTACAGCCAAGTTTTTTAGAGCAAGGAGCATTAGGAAATCTAGGGTAAATGTGGGACCGTTAGCCGATTCGTTGAAGAAAACGGATTGTGCGATTGTCACAAAATTAAGACACGACTGGATCGCCGACTGGGACGCATTCAGCCTACTTTGCAATAATAAGCATGGCGAGGTGGACGAACCACTCGCACTAATGACAAAAGTCGCGTCGGGTGGTGTTGCGGAGGGGGCGGGGGGAGAGGGGACGGGGGAGAGAAGTGCGACGAAGGCTCCGGACGAAATAATGCGAGATACCGTGTATTTTAAATATTTATTCCTTTTTTTTTCATTCAAAGGACAATTTGTTTGTTTTTTTTATTATAAGATAACATTATCCTAAGCATCTTCGAGGGACTCGCATCCCGCTGTGTACCTAAATTACTCTTTATTTAACATTCTTTTATCTTTTGCTTTCACCGTTTCTCGTCTCTTCGACTGCGGACAAGTACACCTCTCCTTCCCCCCGAATTTTCTCAATGTCTCTTCCTTTCCTGCGTCTCTCCTCGCCGCTCAATGTCGCACTTATCGCAGTCAATTGTATATCGTTCCTTTTTTATATCGTTCAACTTTTATTTCGTTTCTCCCCGCATTCGCTCGTCTCGCTCCCCGTGTCTCGACTTTATACAAATTGATTTTGACAATTTTATGGCATTTTACCGTCGGTGGTGAACTGAAGGTATAACGTGATAAGCATTCTGGCGCGTCGAACGTCATCTTGAGTCCACTCTCGAGTCGCTTCTCCTTTCTCTGCTCCAGCTTGTACCAACTTGTACAAAAGAGAACAAACGCTCCGCGAACACGCCCGCCGCTCTGTCGACAGTACAGACAGGTGTCCGCGCTCCGTCGCCTCGCAGAGATGAACGCAATACACGAGCATACATTCCGCTGCGGTAATTTCGGCAGAAAGCAAACAAGCGCGGCACCGCTTGCGCCTTTTCGTCCTCCCGTTCCTCGCGAGAAGGTCGCTGGTCCAGGTACGTAGAACTCGCTGACAAACCTAACGCGCGACGCTGCCTCGCGTCCATAACAAACCTTGACGAGCTCGCACGGGACGCGAGGCTGTGACTGCAAATAATAACTGCCGAGCGGACGTACGAAAAGAAAAACGTGTCCGAAAAAGCGTCGGGCCGCTCGGCCGGCGAATTCGCTCGTCTGTACACCTGTTTCCGAACGACGCAGTTTTCTTTGATGTTTAGGCGAAGTATTATTCCGCGCGATACCCGCTGCCGTTTCACGGCTGCCAACGGCGACGGCGATGCCGGGCGTGGGGATGCCGGAGGAAAAGAAGAGCAACTATGGCGAATTGTGCTGCGAAGTTTCGTTAACACACACACACGAATAACTTGGAAGACACGAAGGAAAATTGAATCGTGCCACGCCGCGACCGACCACGACAATCCGTAGGAAACACGTGTAGAGATATTACATCATGGCTGATTGTCAATCGAGATTGATCGTTTTCCCGCGATTGTGTTGTGAGAACAAGGAGACTGGCCGGTCTTAAACAATTAGTGACATATGTGTTAGGCTTGGTCTACAATACGTGTCGTAAGTTGTAAGCCGTAAGAATCACAGTCGATTATTACAAAAATAATCGGCTATAATTGGTCAATTCTTACGGCTTACGGCTTACAACACATATTGTAGACCAGGCCTTACGCGCGCGCGCGCGCGCGTGCACGCGAATATATATTACCATTTCTCTTTCTCTCTTTCTTTCTCTCAGTGTCTGTCCCGACGCGTTCTCATCAGTCGTTAATCTCCGAGAGCGGAGATGTGTTATATATCGGTGACTTCCCGCCCGCTGCGAAGGATACCCCGATGGAAGTACGCGGTGTGTTTTATTGTTACTGCTTTTTATCATTTAGACTTAAATTACATTTACGTTATTACGCTTCACTGGTTGGCTAGGTCGTCTATACAAATAGCGGGAAGTCATCGATATGTATGTATGTATGTGTGTATATATATATATATATGTGTATATATATATTATTATTTACCACGCGCGACGACAGAGTGTATTAATGCCGATGCCCGAACACCACACACACACACACACACACACACGCGCGCGCGCGCGCGCGCGCACACACATACACACCATGAACGATCCTCGTTGTACTTTTCGCCACGTCCGTCACCACTTCGTCAAAACAGTCTCGACCCTTACGGTATCTATTGTTTTTCTTCTGTTTTTAACATCGCGACCGGGATATCCGCAGCGCTGCACGTCGACGCGCTTCGCCGAGCGGGAATTCGCAGTGACGGATGGGGCGAGACGTACCGAAGCGTGGAGCGTGCGAGCCGATGCGTCATTAATGCACACATGTGACGCGCGGCAATTAATTAATATTTGTATCCGTATCCGAGCAAACCTCGATTCGCCGACACGTTTATATAATAACAAAACATTCCCTTTTTTCCCTTCTTTTCCCCTGTCTTTCTCTCTCTCTCTCTCTCTCTCTCTCTCTCTCTCTCTCTCTCTCTCTCTCTCTCTCGCTCTCTCTCTCTCTCTTTCTCGGTTTTCCCCTGCCTTCTTTCTAGCTCCTCCATTACTTTCTTCCTTTCAAAGATCGTTATAGCAAAGTTTTACATATTGACCACCGACGATAAATATCACATAACGAGGAAAGTTGTAACTCGACTCTCGCGCAGTTTATTTGTTAGAAGCCCCGCACGCGTTGGCGTACACGCGTCCGGAAAATCTAGCTACATCACAGGCGCTGTGTCTAGCTAATCGCTTTTTCTATCCTTATTTTATTAACTATGTCCCGGTGTACTCTGTACGCCGTATCTCTCTCTCGCGCTCTTTTTCTCTCTCTCTCTCTCTCTCTCTCTCTCTCTCTCGCTCGCTCTCTCTCAAATGAACATTTGTCGCGCGTCGTTCGTTCAATGATCCGCGATTAAACTGAGGGGACTCTGGGGGGTATTCAGTGACAAAAATATTAAAAGATATCAACAACGCAATCGCCGCATACGTACGTACGTACTTGCTCGCGCAACGCAACGTGTGCGGGGCTCGGTTGTGTTTTCCTTTACTTTTCTTTTTTAACAGGGGACCGCAAGGAAGAGTTCGGAGATATACCTGTTTCAACATCGGCAAGCGTATGCATGAAGCGAAAAAGATCGTAAGGTACGTTTACGATCATCATCATTACAAAGTCGTGGGTGAGACGTGTGTTGTCCGACTTGGTCGCGTCGCGATACAACAAATCGTGTAACGTCGCTAGCGTCTCTACACGAAGAAAACACAAGAAAGAAAATAACGATGCGTCTTTTTGCGCGTTTTTTATTTCACTCACGAAAGAATGTCTTTTGCGTAAAGAGAAGATTCCCCCATCCCATGCCTGTTTTTTGTTTTCTTTTTTCTTTGCCCTCTTTCTTCTCTTTGATTCGGTATGTAACGAATGTTCGTTTGGTTTTTTTTTCTCTTTTCTTTTTTAAGAAATATATGTTAGTCTTAGAAACGATTACCCTAAGCGTCTACGTTGTCGTCAAAAACTCGGATATAAATGTTGGAGTAGGTATATGACAGAACGATTTTCGCGATAGCCCCTGCGCGACAACTGTATCGTATGTAACAATTAGCTGACGCTGGTCAATCATCAACTTCATTGCGTAGGGTATTGGTGTGGCATGGTATATGTTACCATAGTCGGCTGCTGACCCGGTGGTAGAGGTGCGCTTGCCGTCGGGGGTGCGGCGGTTGCTTGGGCCGGTTGCCAAGTGCCTGCACCAGGAGCGGGCATCCTCATGCTGTTCATGTATTGGGTCTGCTGGCCGTAATATTGGCCATAATATTGAGCAGGTTGCAAGAACTGTCCCTGCATCTGTGGATAACCCTGCGCGTACCAGTAACCCATCTGCTGACCATATCCGTACGGATATTGCCCAGCTCCTGCTGTCACCTGTTGTACAAACAAATGTTATAATTATTGTTGGCTTCAGAATCAATAAATAACGAACGAGAATATCAATTATAGATGAATTATAGATAACATCTTTCATTCCAGGACTCCTCTACAATCAACGGTGGAAGAAATGGACGTTTAACCTTTTCTCATTCCTCTAGATACAGGGATGTAAATTCATTATAAACGATAAACTAAACAATCTGTGTAAATATACATAAACAAAATATGGAGCCTCTCGCGAGCTATCTGGATAAACGTACGCAAGTTGAGGACAATTTGGATGAAAACAATTGGGGCCGGCAACACATGTAAAGAAAATAACCTGTTGAGCTTGATGATTGGCGTTAGGACCGACGCTATTTGGGTCGCCATTTTCCTTCCCCCAAAAGCATTTGACGATGCTACCGTTGATTTCTGTATTATGCGTCGATTCGATGGCGTGCGTTGCTGCTTCCTTAGTTGTAAATTTAATAAAGGCATATCCCTTCTCCTTGAACACTCTAATATCTTGGATGGTGCCAAAGGGAGAAAACGTTTTCTTTATCAACTCGTCTGTGATGCCGTTTGTGAAACCTCCGCAATATACAGTACAATTGGTCGGACTACTTTGGTTATATACCTGTTGGAAACAACAGTCTGTATTTAGAATCATTACACAAGGTGTCACATTGATTAAATGTATACAAACTGATCCAATTTCCTCCCCTCCTCTTCCCTTAAACATTACATCAATAGTATTTGCATTTACAATCGTCAAAAGCTCTTTATTCCAAGTCTACAGTTATGTGTATCCCGCATTCAGAAAGTGACACCAAGATTATGGCCACAAACGACATGTTTGAAGTACAAAGGAGACAAAAATATAAATACAGATTGAATATTTCCACTTGCTTATTTAGCTTGACAAGCAAACACAGCTGAATCGCAGCCAATTTGTAAGGTAAAAAAGTAACGATTGTAGATACAGTCACATAATGGATACAGCTTTGGACCATGGATAATCGCTCTGCATGAAAGCTCACCATAAGGCACAAGTGTATCGTCCAGAGAAATAACAAACTGACTGGCTAACTGACTTACTGACTGACTGACGTACCTCTTCGTAGTTAGGTTTACTATTGTTTGAGTGTCTCGGCCTCTCTGACCTCGGGGGTGGTGGTTTCCTAGTGGACCAGTTCGTCCTGATACTCCGGGAGCCCAGCCACTGTCCATTCATCGCCGCGATTGCCGCCTCAGCCTCGGACTTCTTCACGAACGATACAAAGGCGTACCCTTTGCTTTTTAATGTCTGAGGGTCACGCACGATCCTGCAATTGCTGATCTCGCCGAATGGCGCAAAGGCCTCCTTCAGCGTCTGTGTCTCGATCTCCGGCGAAAGGTCGCCCACGAAGATGTGATGGTGGTTGCTGGTGTCGAGCTTCGGCTGATTGCCCGGACTGGTCGCCCAGTTAACCTTCATCTCCTTGTCCAGGAACGAACGCTTGTTCATGGCGGCCAGCGCCGTGGCCGCGCACTGGTGGTTCGTAAACTCGACGAAAGCATACGGATCGTTGCCGGGCTCGCGGATGATCTTGCAGCCTTTGACCGCGCCGATTTGCGAGAACAGCGCGCACAAAAGGTCCTCGGACACCGTGGTGTCCAGGTTGCCCACGTATAGAGTACGTGGATTACTTTCCTCGCTCATGTTCGCGCGCTGCGCTGCTACGGGCACTGCCGCAGCAAACACACACACACACAGTCCCACACACACGCACACACACTTGGCTCTTACCGTTGGCACGCTCTCGCTAGAGCTCTACCTAGCCACAGCTCTCGTTGATAATATGTTTCGTACGCTCGCCTGCTTCTCGTACGCGCTGTGTGGCACGCTGTACGTCTCTTTCTCTCTCTCTCTCTCTCTCTCTCGCTCTCCCTCTCTATCACTCACTCTCCCCTTCGCTTCCCTCTCGCCTACTCGCTCTTTCTCTCACTCGCTCTTTCTTTCTCTCTCTCTCTCTCTCTCTCTCTCTCTTACTCACTCTCGGCGCTCGGTTCACTCGCCTCTCCTCCCGCCGCAGATAGGTAAGTTAACCGATTCGCTCCCACACACGTTCGAGGCTACCTAGCGCTGCCTAGCTTCCGCGCGTTGCTACACAGCTACTCGCGGGAAGACACGACACCACCGCGGCGGTTACTTCTCCGTGCCACTCGTGCCGCCGTGCTGCGTGTGTCCAAGCGCTCAGGAGCTGGCTCAGCGGCAGCAGCAGCATCGGACGCCAAGCGTCCGCCCGTTACTTTATTCGTCGCCTCGCGCGCGCACAACAGCACACGGCAATAAGAACGCGAAGCTACACCCAGCCTCTACGTCATACTAACATAAAATGGCCGCCCCGCGCGCCGCACCGCGCCGCGTCGCACCGCACCGCCTCGCGGCCCGCTTTCCCTCGGAGGACGCGTGTGCTGAAACGTATGCACGAGCGCGTGAGGAACGTGTTCGCGGAAACGTCTATCTCTCTTTCTCTCTCTCTCTCTCTCTCTCTCGCTCGCTCGCTCTATCTCTCCCTCTGTCTCACTCACACGCACACACTCTCTTTCTTTCTCTCTCTCTCTCTCACACACTCTCTTTCTTTGTCTCTGTTTCAGTCTCACCACTGTCTCTTGGCATGCCGCGCGTCCACGTCCGTGCGGCTCCCCTTCGGCGAGAACGTTTCTCAGAGATCGCGCGCGCAGTCACACGCCGACGAATACGACTATCGACACTCCGGCCACGGAAAAGACACGTGTTTTCGTATCATCCGTCGAGCTTTCGTAACAGGTAGCGCGAAAACTCATGCAAACCATCGGGCTTGCGAAATTTACTGCTCGCAAGGCGCTCTCGCCGTTCCTCGCCGCGCGGCGCTGCTGTCCGCCCGCCGCCGATGGAAACTATGCTTCGCGATGATGTAATGGAGGATTTACATCGTATGTGCGGCGTTCGTCGTCAGACAAGAGGAATCGCTTTGTTTGAGCGACTACGACATGCAGTCTCCGCTCGGTAGTTTCCGCGAGGAGACGGTCCTGCCGTCGGATATATCGGAACGTTGCGCATCGCGAATCTTTCTGCCGAAGCCGTAGGCAAAATGGCGATATAGGAATACCGACAGTTCTATGTCTCACGTCGTAGGTACGGTAATTTGAATTTGACATGGCGGGAAAATGCGTGTCGCTTATCTAGGACCGCGTTCCGATATTCATTACCAGCGCTAAAAAGCTATAGTCTACGTCACACAAACTATGTATTTCCGGGACTGGCAGTGAATATCGCACGTAGCCTCGATTTTCGCTTTCGCTTTGGAAGCGAAAGCGAAAATCCCTAGAGTTTTGTCTCATAAAGGCTGCATTCCGATATCCACTGCCAGTACTGAAAATACATAGTTTGTGTCATGTATACTATAGAATTTCAGTGCTGGCAGTGAATAGCCGTTTTCCAGCTATGACACGCTAAAGCCCAGTTCCATAAAATCAAGTTTAAACCGTGATTATCTGAACTGACGTTACATTTAACGGCATGGTTAAACTTAGAAACCTTCTATAATAAGCAATTAGTCATAAGCTATAAGCAAATTAACCAATCACAATTGATTATTTCAAAAATAATCGACTGTGGTTGGTCAATTTGGTTACAACTTATGACTATGGCCCAGTTCCACAACTTGCTTTAAACGGAGTTTAAAGCAAGTTGTGGAACTGGGCCTAATAGCTTATTGTAGAAGATCCATTATATCGCGTTTCATATCGTGTTTTTAACTGTAGTTTACTTAAACCTATAGGCCCATATCCAGAACACGCTTGTAACTGTGTTAGCGCGCTGTTAACCAATGAAAAGCCACGCAATATGCCTTCTGATTAGTTAACAGCGCACTAACATAGTTATAAGCATGTTCTGAATATGGGTCATAGTCTGTATGAAGAAACTGTCTAAAGGCTCGACTACAATAGCTGTAGACGAATATTTCATTTCGTGTCTTGCAACCTTATTCACAGCCTTATTCTTACAGCTAATGTAGACGAGCCTTAAAAGCCCATCTACAATGGCTGCGGCAAGAATAAAGTTCTAAGCGTAAGCAGTAAGAAATAGACCAACCACAAATGATTATTATAAGAATAATCGATTATGGTTGGTCCATTTCTTACTGCTTACGCTTACAACCTTAGGGCCAGAGCACAGACTTCTGCATAACGCATAATATACAACGCATAAGAGAATCAACCAATCAGAGTTCTTCATTTCCCTCCTCAGGACAGAAATGAAGAACTCTGATTTGTTGATTCTCTTGCGTTATGCAGAAGTCTGTGCTCTGGCCCTTATTCTTGCAGCCATTGTAGATGGGCCTAAAGACTTCTCCATAGACATAGGCTGCGTTCAGAAAACACAACGGTTACATAACGGTTAAGTAATGCTACGTCTACAATGGGGTCGTAAAGTCGTGAGCTGGGTCCTATGGCGATGCTTGTACAAAGTTCAATTAGTCGCTGGATCGGAGTGTAAACCAATCAGAGAGCAGGATATTGCCCGTACGATAATACGAATGATCGATTGTGTTTATGTGTGTTATTGAAATAGAAATATAATGGAATTCCGTGCAATTTGTAGTATTTCTTTGTTATTAAATGCTTACCATTTGAATTTAATATCGATATATTTATATCTAAAACGAAAAAGACAAAGAAGATAGTGGATAAGACCTATAAATAGAAATAGAGATTATTTAGGATATTTCAATAAACAATTCAAAGAGGTATATGAGACAGATCATGAAAAATTTTTTAGTATGACACGAATGACACCTGTCCAATATGATTATTTGTGCCATATTGTCAGACCTTTTCTTAGAAAAAGGAGATATATAAAAAGATATATAAAAAGGAGATATATAAGATGATATATCTTATGAAAATCTGTTGATACCACAAAGCAAGGTTATTGTTTCATGATTAAACTGTATGTTCCACAAAAATATTACTTTTAATATTCATATTAAGTTTTCTTCTTTTAACAGTACAACTGTTATATAGAGAATATAGAGAAGAAAGTTTTGCAACTGTGTAAAAATACGTGAATCTGATTGATGGTATGCTTTTAATCTTGATTGAATTTAAAAATATATACCAATCAGATCAACTTTATAACATTTACTTAACTTTCTCTGCTAATTGCTGACAATATTCCATATAGAATCCAATTACACTATAACATATGCTATAATAGGACAATTATATTTTTAATATTTTCTATCAGCAATGACTATATAATTATTCACTCATGCTGAAATGATTCCAATATTTCCAACAGTTTGATAAAACATTTTATTCTTTGTTGCATAGGTATACGTTTTATTCTATGTAATAAGACTGTCACCATACTTTTCTCTTCTTCTGTATCTAGCGTGGAAGTTGTACTGTTCAGCAATGCTGGCAAAGCTGAACAAGCTGCAGTAACAGCCTGTGATGATTCCATAATTAGAGAATTCACATCAAGACTTATATTCTTTCTTTTTCTGATATCTGTTTTAGGCACTTTGAGGTTATGCTTATTTGCTGGATCGATATTCTCGCTATCTGAAATTTATTTAGAAGTGTTAAGAATGTAATTAACGATTAAGTTTTCTGTGGAAAATAATAATTTATCAATCATTTGCCTTCAGAAATATTAATAAAATTTTTATTGCAAGTAGGCGATTTTGCTGATAAATTCTTTATCATTGATCTTTGTGATACTAATGAAATTTGTAAAGGTGACTTTATAAAAAATGAATAAATAAGTGCCGTCCACACACGATATCATTTTCCCACGTTGTTTACATAGCGTGATATATAAAATCTTTCCTCTGATTAATCTATTGTAGCTCAAGTCGTTACAATAGTCGTTGAAATTGGATTGGAACCAACTCAAGCGACTGTGCTTGCAAGCGTTTTGCGATCGAAAATAACCTTTCAGTTGACCATTGCTACGACTCTACGACCGTATTCTATGACGTTACGACTCTATTGTAGACGATCCTAACTTGAACGACAGCGATTACGATCTCTCAAGCGACTACTACCACGACTCTACGACCATATTTTATGACTCTACGACCCCATTGTAGACGAGGCATAATTCGTCAACGTTATTGGACTGAATGTAAGGATCTAACAGTAAAGACCAATAGTTACTAAGCGCTCAGTGAGCGCTTTGTTTTCTGAACGCAACCATATATAATAAAAATATAATTCTAAAACAATTAAAGGAATAAGAATTTTTCAAAAAATCCATTATGCAATTACAAAAATGCAATTAATGCATTTTAAAATGCAAAAAAATGCAATTACATTATTGCATTGTTTACATACAAATGGTTCTGAAAGGAAGTAGAAAGAGGATGATATATGAAGAAATTTATTTAAACAAGATATGTAAATAAAAAGAGTTTTAATTATTTTTTTTACATTTATCTTCAACTTTCGTTACAAGTTCCATTATGTTTCTTGGTATAAATCAGTATAATATAAAAATACATATAACAATATATATATTGTAGGTTACGTTCACACTAATTAAATATATTTATTATTGTAAATTATATTCGTACTAAAGGAATAAAAACAGTTACTATCTGTTATATTTCAAAATATTGATAGTATTGATCAAGAGACACGGCAGTGTCTCGCGCCAAGTGCACGCGAGAGCGACGCGACGCGCACGGGCCGCAAGACCGGCTGGGTATTTTTACACGAAGCACTTAAGCCAGCGGCACACGGTGCTTGTTTTTGTGCTGGATTGCTTGCTGGATGAAAATACTGAGTTTTGATTGGTGCATTTTCATCCATCTTCGGAAATGTACCAATCAGAACGCAACATTTCATCCAGCAAGCAATCCAGCACGAAAACAAGCACCGTGTGCCGCTGGCTTTAGTTGATCGGAGACAAGATTATCGTACCACCCAAACGGCTAATCTGATCGAATTCTAAGTGAGCTCAATGGATTCCTTGGGGTCGACTTACATAACAAAACTGTCTTTACTTTTGTCCTACGTGCACTGTAAGTCGAAATAATTTAATTTCGTGAAAAACTATCACGTCCGAAATTCGTCGTCAAAATGTCCAGTTCCATCAAACCTGTATAGGTGGCGACTGTGAACAGCACTTGTTGCTCAGCTGAGCCCGCAAACGTGGCTGCGTTCCGATATTCACTGCCAGTACTGAAAATCTATAATATATGTGACATAAAGTATATATTTTCAATACTGGCAGTGAATATCGGAACGCAGCCTGTGTCGATCGATGTTTAACCTAACTTTTTTTGACAGTTGAATGTTGCTTATCTTGCATCTATGCAAGTGTATTCTAGATGTATTCATACGTTAATTGCAAAAAGTATGAGTTATATTTATTATTATTATCCAAGAAATATTATTCTGTTATTGTTACAGTTGCATTTAAAGTGATTAAATATGTGTACTAAAAAATTACAGACAGAAAATTACTTTTAACCTTCTAACGTAACAGCACTACACAATGGTTATTTATTGTTTATTGATAAACTTGCTATCACTATTACTAATTCTACAAAAACTACTTGTTACCATTCTAATTTAAAGAGTGAATGAGCTTTTATAGGAAGTAGTGAGTTTGTACCATTAGTGATAGTGAGTAACCACTGAGTAGTGTTACGTTATAGAAGTTTGAAAATTATTTTTGTCTATAATTATTTAGTAAATACATTAGTCACTTTAAATGCAACTGTAACAATAACTTAATTATATTTTATACTTAATTATATATTTTATTATATATATATACTTAATTATATATTTTATTATATATATATACTTAATTATATATTGGTTAATAGTATAATATTATTAAAACTTTTATGGTTATAAATGTATGTAGAATACAGATATATGAGGTAAGTGATATCGACCTGTCAAGAACAAGTTCTTCAAAACTTGCTATCACCACTACTAAATCTGCAAGAACTACTTGTCACCACTCTGATAATTTGAAGAGTATTATAGGAAGTATTGAGTTGATATATTGGGTTGACAACTAAGTGATTGCGGATTTTGTCGACAGATGGATTTTACACTTTTTTTTGTTTCGTTAACGTGTTCAAAGTACCTAACCTATATTTTTTTCTTATTGTTTGGACTTCTACCTTTCATTTAGTACAAAAATTATATCAATTAGTTCTTTAGTTTTGTTTTTATCCCAATTTAAAAATGGAAGAGCAAGACGTGCACTTCAGACATATTTTATTGTATTATTTCCGAAAAGGTAAGAACGCATCGCAAGCACACAAGAAGTTATATGGGTGCCGTATATGGGAATGAAGCCTTGAAAGAAAGGCAGTGTCAAAATTGGTTTGCCAGATTTCGTTCTGGTGATTTTTCACTGAAAAATACTCAACGATCTGGCCGTCCAGTTGAAGTCGATGAGACCCATATCAAGGCCATTATCGATTCAGATCATCATAGCACAACACGTGATATTGCAGAGAAGCTCAATGTATCGCATACATGCATTGAAAAAATTTAGAAAAGCAAATTAAAAATTTTGAATTTTCATTCTTATTTAAAATCCGCAATCACTTAGTTGCCAACCCAATAGATGAGATTTTTATCAAGTTTTGAAGATCCTGTTCTTGACAGGTTGATGTCACTTTGTGCACATATATTCTATGTGCATTTACAAGGTAATAAAAAATTTTAATTATATTAAAATTAATTAATTATATTAAAATTTTATATTATATTTCTTGGTTAATAGTATAATATAATTAAAACTTTTATGGTTATAAATGCATGTAGAATATAAAAGTATGAGGTAAGCGATATCGACCTGTCAAGAACAAAATCTTCAAAACTTGCTATCGCCACTACTAATTCTACAAGAACTACTTGTCATCACTCTGATAATTTGAGGAATATTATAGGAAGTATTGAGTTGATATCGATGAGATTTTTATCAAGTTTTGAAGATCCTGTTCTTGACAGGTTAATGTCGCTTACTTTGTGCACATGTATTCTATGTGCATTTACAAGGTAATTACCAGTTTTAATTATATTATATTATTAATAAAAAATGTGGTTTACTAGTGAAACATGTAGAATATATGTGCAAGAGATAAGCGACATTGAATCGTGAAGAAAAGGATCTTCAAAACTTGGGTTAAACGTTACCAACTTAGTACTATTTTAGTAATTTAAATAATGTAAAAACCACGTTACCACTCTAGTAATTTAAGCAATAATGAATCTATAGGAGGTTGTCAATTAATATCGCAAAAAAATTTTTATAGTCAAAAAAAAGGAAAGAAAGCACAACTTAACACTCTATAAGATAGGGGATTAAAATAACGCTGTAACATAGACAACTAAAATTTATTGCAGTCTTATATTGTCTCCTAAATGCAATATCGCAAGACAGAATGTCTACAAGAAGTTGTCAACGTCGCAAAAAAAATTTATATATTCGATTGATTAAATCCTATTCTAAATACCATCGAAAGTATGATTATCACCTAAGCAAAATACAATTTTTTTTCTTTCATGTTCCGTTTTCTGTTAAAGCTTAATAATTATTGCATTTTCGATGGTGTTTAAAGTAAGATCTATATATACAACAGAAAACCTATACATATAACAGAAAACGGAACATCAAAGAAAAAAATTATATTTTTTTAAGTGGTAATCATACTTTCGATCAATGTTAATGTGATAAATCTCTATTCGAAAGAGAGAGACAGAGACTTTCTGTCTCTCTCTTTCGAATAGAGATTGTCACGCATGCGCGTGCAGTCTCTCCAACATCGGAACACTGCTTTCAATGATTAATTGACAACCTCATATAGACATTTTGATTTGTGATGTTAGAAATTGAACATTTGAATTCACTTGTTTATACTTTCCTGTTATATATGTAAGTCCTATTCTAAACATCATCTAAAGTATGATGATTATTGAGTCTTGACAGTTTATATGTCATCAATCACAATTACAAAAAGACACGCGCTAAGTGCATATGAGAACGAAGCGATTTTATATGTGAGATACTTAGATCCATTTTTTGACTTAGGTACGCATCAGTTAATATTTGTCATCTGAAACTTGTCTAATTATTTATAAAATACTCAGATAATTATTTAAAGTTTGATTAAAATGTTTCAGTTAAATAATACATACAGGGTGAAGAAAAATCCCCGAGACCCCTGAAAATTTCGAAAAATATACACTTTATAAAAAAATGTTTCAGACAAAAGTTGTAGCGTTGAAAAAGATCTATTTACCGATCTTAACAATTTGACCTTGGGTGGCGTTATCAAGGTCAGGACAAAGTCACCTCGGATTTTTTAAATGGAACCCCCATTTTTTTTATCACATATTCTTATAGCCCTTCTTTAGACCTTTTCAAAGCACTATGGTTTTACTCAATTTGAATAAGCTGTTCCGAAGTTATCGAGTTTTTTAAAGTAAGATATTTAGCCAACTAAGGCAAGATCGGAGAATGATCCAGCCAACTAAGGCAAGACCGGAGGATGATCTAGCCAACTAAGGCAAGATCGTAGGATGATCCGGCCAACTAAGGCAAGGTCGGGAGTTGTCCGGCCAACTAAGGCAATACTGGAAAGTTTTAATTAATTGTTCAAAATGTCCGCCATCAACAGTTTGACAATAAGCGAATCTATCGTAAAAAGATGAAACGGCTTTTTGAATGTAATCAGCAGGAATGAGAGCAGCTTCATCAAGAATTCGATTTCGTAAGTCATCCAAATTTTGTGGTTTCGTTTTGTAAACTTTATCTTTTAAATGGCCCCACAGGAAGTAATCGTTAGGTGATAAATCGGGTGATCGAGGAGGCTATTCTATAGGTCCTCTTCTACCTATCCATCGATGAGGAAACACTGTCCAGATAATTACGGACGTCCCTTCCGTAATGTGGGGGGGGGCACCATCTTGTTGGAACTATGTATGCTCGAAGTTGTCATCCATGATTGCTTGTATCGCTGGAACTATTTCGTTTCTTATCATATTCTCATATTTTATCGCTGTTAGATTTCCGTCAATAAAGAATGGACTTATGAGAACATTATTCAAAATGCCTACCCAAACATTCACTTTTTGTGGATACTGCGTATGTGTTTCTTCAATCCAGTGAGAATTTGTATCTGATCAAAATCTACAATTGTGTCGATTAACGTGACCATTTAACTGAAATGTTGCCTCACCTGAAAATACTACATTTGATAGATATTTAGGATCTTCGGCTATTTTTTCCATCATCAAATCACAAAATTCAATGTGCCTATCAAAATCACCTTCATTTAGCTCTTGTACAAGATGGATCTTATAAGGATGAAATTTATTCATTTTCAATATTTTAAGCACAGACATTTGATCTATTTCATGTTGCTGTCCTACTTTGCGGGTCGAATCATGCGGATTTTCGATAAAGGATTGTAGAACATCTAATGATTTTTCTACACTTGTTGCTGATACTAGCCTACCTGGTATTGCACGATTTTTCACATTTCCAGTTTCCTGAAAACGCCTTATCGTTCTTTCAACGGTAGATTTTGAAATGGCATTATAGCTTAAAACGCTAAGACGCCATCGCAACAGTCAGCGCGAGACACGTTATCACTCAGCCCCTACGCACACAGCTTGTCACGGAGCGTCTATAGGCCGCGATGGGCGTGGAAAACACCAAACTTTACGCGGTTATTACTAAAAAACTATTACGATTTTCACATTATGGCAGAGGACTTTTTTGTTCCTCTCACTTAGCTCTACTAGTATATCCCTACGGAGTCCGTGTCCCAAAGTTCTGAGACACCCTGTATATAACAACGAGCATAATATCTGAACTTATACAGTGGTACTGAACGTGAATTTTGAATGCGACACTTGGTAAAATTGACACTTCTTTTACATATGAAAAACTTCTGACTGCCAAACTTCAAAATCTGGCTTTGTAGGGATCTCGGGAATAGTTCAAGGGATGTTTTATAACAATTTGGCGGTTATGTATATCGTCCCCGAGGTACAATATCTCTTGTAGTAAAATTGTATCGCGCGTGTAGTAAAATTGTATGCGCGAGCAGTACCGAGCGTCGCAAAGACGCTCGGTACTGCTGACGCTTTATTTGTTAATGATAAATTGTTGATTGCCAAATTTCAAAATCTGGCTGTGTAGGGACCTCAGGAATAGTTCAAAGGATATTTTATAATAATTTGGCGGTTATGTATATCATCCACGAGTCGGAATATCTTGTTTTAAAGTGGTGGCTGGAAAGTATTCATACACATACACACGTCAATATTAATGCACTGCTCATATATGCGCTAATACTGATGCATTGCTCGTGCGAGCGCAAGAGCAGGAAGGTTGGGTCATACAGACTGCACCATGATGCAGCTGGAGTATACTTTCCGTGTTATCTGCACCAAAAGATATTTTGCCATGTAGGCATTTAACTTACATCATTTAACTTACATGGGCATCTTCCTTTTATTAGTATCTAGGGACGTACAGAGCCTGATTTTGCCTTCAGGTCCTTGAAAATTTGTAATAAATGGAAATATAGGCTCGTGTTACACCGCGTGATGCACTTTCATTCAAAATTTTTATTCGATTTTTATTTAGATCCTTTTTCCAAGAAAAAACGCTCTGTACGTCCCTGCGGACATTAATCTTGATTACAAATGTCGTAAATATAAGGTGATTTTTTCCATATTTTAGTCATAATTTCTAATATAATTTTGCCTAGTTCGTGGGTCTCCGCGAGAGGTCTCTAGTGTGGCTCCTGCAGACCCTTAATTCTGTACACTCGGTTTTTCAAATAACCCCAGAAGAAAAAGTCCAAAGGAGACAAGTCAGGTGATCTGGGTGGCCACTCGATTGCGTCCCTTCTTCCTATTCATCTTTCAGGAAAAGTGTTGTTTAAAATATTCCGCACTTGTAATCCAAAATGTGGAGGAGCACCGTCCTACTGAAACCAAACTGAATGAAAATCTAGACAGAAAATGTTGCGAAGAGTTGGTACAATATTGTCTCGGAACATAGCCTCATACCTTTGTGCTGTCAGATTGCCATCAATGAAAAATGGTCCTATTATGTGCTGTCCAATTATTCCCGCCCAAACATTTAGTTTTTATGGATATTCGCTTTTGGATTCTCTCATCCAATGCGGATTAGAATCACTCCAATATCGACTGTTGTGTCTATTTACTGAACCGTCTAACATAAATGTAGCCTCATCTGAGAAAACAATCTTGTTTTGAAATTCCGGTTGATCATCAATTTTTTGTATCATTACGTCACAAAGTTCGAGTCGGCGATTAAAATCATGTGTGACAAATTCCTGAACAAGATTTATTTTGTATGAGTGAAATGTGGAATTCTTAAGAACACTTAGAACAGATTTATAGCTACAGTCATGAGTCTGGGCAGTTTTTTGTGTAGAGGTATGGGGATCTTCTACAAATGATTGTAATATTTCTATCGAGATGTCTTCATTTGTACCAATCTCTGGCCTACCCAATCTTTGCCGATCCTTGACGCATCCTGTATTTTGAAAACGATTACATGTTTTCTGTATAGTGGGTACAGAAATCCCTTGCCTCCTTTGCCGAAACTCAGCATTAAATAAATCTCGAACCTTTCGAAATGACCGTTTGCGGTCACCGTACCTTCGCATCATCAAAAGAGTAATACGTACTCTTTCTATAAGCGCCATTTCAATGCACTCAGTTAGCCTATCTAAGACGCTCGTTTGATTGTCAGATTGTCGACGATAGTGTGCAGTATTTACTGAATATCACAGCGGGGAAGTACTTTTCCGTCACAAGATTCAAAACCGTACAAAAATCGTACAATTTATTTCACAACTCTTGTTTGTCGAGATTTGTTTCAGTCAATCTTTTAAAGATTTAATTGTGAAGAAAATATTTTATTTAATAAAAGAGTATTTTAAGAAAATAACGTGGTCGTATCATGTACCATAAAATAAGTTGCCATGTTATTTTCTGATTATTCATAATTGCGCCGCGCCCCCGACTCCTTTTGTGGGAAGGGGTGTGGCATTTGGGCTAGGGGCTCCCTTAGATCCCCAGGGCCGGGGTGTCGGGGAGGCAGTGCAGGCGCAATTTCCCCGACCCCCCATACTCCGGTCCGCCTGGAACACACTCTAGTGGGGTTCTAGCCAGTAAGAGTCCGGTATAACCACCGCCCCCCTCCCCAAGAGGCGGGGCTATTCATGAGGATTTCCCCACTGTGATAAAAAAAAGACTATTCACAATTAAATCTTTAAAAGATTGACTGAAACAAATCTCGACGAACAAGAGTTGTGAAATAAATTGTACGATTTTTGTACGGTTTTGAATCTTGTGACGGAAAAGTACTTCCCCGCTGTGATATTCAGTAAATACTGCACACTATCGTCGACAATCTGACAATCAAACGAGCGTCTTAGATAGGCTAACTGAGTGCATTGAAATGGCGCTTACAGAAAGAGTACGTATTACTCTTTTGATGATGCGAAGGTACGGTGACCGCAAACGGTCATTTCGAAAGGTTCGAGATTTATTTAATGCTGAGTTTCGGCAAAGGAGGCAAGGGATTTCTGTACCCACTATACAGAAAACATGTAATCGTTTTCAAAATACAGGATGCGTCAAGGATCGGCAAAGATTGGGTAGGCCAGAGATTGGTACAAATGAAGACATCTCGATAGAAATATTACAATCATTTGTAGAAGATCCCCATACCTCTACACAAAAAACTGCCCAGACTCATGACTGTAGCTATAAATCTGTTCTAAGTGTTCTTAAGAATTCCACATTTCACCCATACAAAATAAATCTTGTTCAGGAATTAGTCACACATGATTTTAATCGCCGATTCGAACTTTGTGACGTAATGATGCAAAAAATTGATGATCAACCGGAATTTCAAAACAAGATTGTTTTCTCAGATGAGGCTACATTTATGTTAGACGGTTCAGTAAATAGACACAACAGTCGATATTGGAGTGATTCTAATCCGTATTGGATGAGAGAATCCAAAAGCGAATATCCATAAAAACTAAATGTTTGGGCGGGAATAATTGGACAGCACATAATAGGACCATTTTTTATTTATGGCAATCTGACAGTACAAAGGTATGAAGCCATGCTCTGAGACGATTTTGTATCAACTCTTCGCAACATTTTCTGTCTAGATTTTGATTCAGTTTGGTTTCAGTAGGACGGTGCTCCTCCACATTTTGGATTACAAGTGCGGAATATTTTAAACAACACTTTTCCTGAAAGATGGATAGGAAGAAGGGGCGCAATCGAGTGGCCACCCAGATCACTTGACTTGTCTCCCTTGGACTTTTTCTTCTGGGGTTATTTGAAAAACCGAGTGTACAGAATTAAACCTCAAAATCTCAACGACTTGCGACTACGAATTATCGAAGTGGCATTAATTACTCCCGAAATATTACAAAACGTTACAACCAGTTTGTACAATCGTCTGGCCCACTGTCGAACTGTAGAAGGTCGACAGTTCGAACACTTACTGTAAACACATATTCACCCACCCACACCCGAGCGCTCGCGCACACGCACACACACACACACGCGTGCGTGAAACGGAGAGGGTTTGGAGTCACAAAATACTGGGGGAGTGACCCTAGAGTCCTGATTTCTGTTACGCACACATACACACACACACACACACACACACACACACACACACGGGTCTGATAACCGTCACGTCTTGGCCGTTACCCTCGCTGGGTAACGCAAAGAACAGTAACGCAATAAACAAGGAAATGCAAATTTTTGTTTTATGATTATAACTTTCGACTGGAGAGTCGTAGCGAACTTTCTCAAAAAACATTTTTTTTCGTCTTTAAAACACCTTTAAAATGAGCTCTCAGTTGACCTTTCATGCCATTTAGGATTTTTAAGTCACCCCCGCCCTCGTGCCCCAAGGAGGTGAAGGGTGGATGCCATCCTGCACAAAAATAGCTTTCATGATCCTATATAACTTCTTCAAATTTCAACTTTTTATCTAAATTCATTCAAAAGTTATGAGAGTGTATC